TCTGCTCGCGTTCGCGCCGTTGAAAATTGAAGGCCCCAACGCCACACGGGAGATATTTCAAAGTTTCATTAGTGACGGTCCCCCGGTGGCATCGTTGATACGAACGTGGGGCCCCAGCTTGGCGGGTGCCGAAAAGAAACTTTTGTCATTCGTTTTTATTTTAAACTGCCCTCGTCGCGGGAACGACGACGTCTGAATTGATATTTTCGCGAAATCCGCTACAGTCATAAATTATTTTATTACAACAAATGGAAATCCGCTGTAATGTCACAGCTCCAGGAATAAGTCAATATTAATTTTGCCTTTTTGCACCAGAGACCCACCTTAATTTTATCACGCCGTTTTAATCGAGTTTTATAGGTCACAGATGGCAACGAATATCGCCATTAAAATCGGGTCTCGGCCTCCAACATATTGTATTTTCTCCGACAGTGTTTCTCCGTTCCTAATGGAATTATGGAATAAGCGCGGTATATGTAGCGTAACCGAATGCCCTCCTATAAAAGGGAGTGCAAACCTATTATACAACTAAAATCGATAGTTACTGAATAGTTAGTAGAATTGCACCCATAGGTTGGAAATTCTTGTTATTTTTTTGTTAATTACGTTTCTATGTCGTTATGAACAACGAGGTTATAAAGAAAGCAATAGTCTCTCTTATAATCCCAAATTCTCGCTGGAATATGTACAGTTTTATCGGGCACTTTAATAAGCTCCATTAGATATTCCAGGCACGTATGCATCCGAGCGTATTCGACGAAATAGGGGTGCAGAGAGATACCGCTGCGGCACTTTGCGAACACAGTTTCACAATTTAAAAGATAAAAGTCGAAACTGATTCCAACCAGCAAAACTGTTAACAACATCCCACTATTTTTAAACCAAAAATGGGAATTATAATTTTTTAATGGAAGTTTTATGCCATTTTAAATACATTTACCATAAACATAGCTTTTGTTTCAACTCTCACATATGTCTTCATAAAGCCATGACATTTTTAACTATTCTACAAACTCAACTTTGTTAACATGGATAAGGAATAAACTTTTATTGATTATGGGTTATGGAACAGCATTAGTACAACTTTTGGTAAAGTTGCGTAAGATAGAATTAATCGTGAACAGGAATGTATTGAACATCAAGACTAGTTACTGTAACTATTAGCGGCAACTATGCAAATTAACCCTACAATGGATTCTGCAACAACAACGACGATTGCATCCCAGCTCCCATCGTATGTTATTGGATCAGAACAATGGAATACGTATTTGGCAACATTAGCAAAGCAATTTACGACAAAGGAACAAAAAAATACACTCGATTCTTTGAAAAAGCCATGAAATTGCTTCACCTTTTTTCCAAGAAATCTGAATTAACCTTATCTAACGTAGAAGAAATTGATACAAAATGTTGCTAACAAAGTTATTTTGCATACTCAATATAAGACAAGACGAAATCTAGTCTTTGGATTAAATGATCAACCATCTATGGAAATTGATAAATGATTTAGACAACAGACAATGAAGGAATATATTAATGCGATTACAGCTACATAAAAAATAACGGAATATTTTGAAGAAGACCTAGAAACTTTAATGGTAACCTTAACGTTTAGTGTACCACTCTTGACGGATCAAAGTCTAAGTTTCTGGACCAATGTAATGGATAAGTTTAACAAAGCATTTTGCAGCATTGTCAAGGGACATCTATTTGTGACACTCGAATTCTTTTCATCTTATGCATGGACCTAGCTCGACCTCTTTATGTAGGTAAACTCGTGATCAACTTATGCCATAATGCTCTCATTCATCGTTGGCATGCAGCTACTTCAAGTAAGTTTGGAAAAAAATTTCAGTACACACATCAAAAAGAAGATAACAAATTAAAACTAATTTTGATAAACTATAGCATTAAGAACAACACCACAACTGAAAACTCACTGCAAGGTGAAACTTTCATAAGTTTAATATTTGTTGTGCTAACATTCAATTAAATTTTGTTGCTATCTCTTAGCCATTACTTTCCGTATCATTGGAAAACCATTACTAGATTCATCAATAGTCACTAAGACTAACAGCTGTAATGACTAATTGATTGCCTCTGATAAAATTACTACGATTCCTTTGTTTTGGAACTACTTTGAGAAATGGTTTAGATATCTATCTTAGTTATGTTGACTTGCAGTAACACATTAGCTGGTAAAATTGTATAGACCAATGATTATTATGCTTATTATGCTTTCTTTGTTTACACATAGAGGAACTGTTTAGGACTTTCATGCAGCCTATTTGCCCAAATTTCGTGTACTGTGGAAGACTCAAATCAAAAACGTAATAACCTTATCGAAGCGTTATTTAAATGAGCTTATAACCTGGATATACACCACACAGTGTTTCAGGCTGAAGTATTGGCCATTGAGCGGGGTTCATGGTGTTGACAGGAGAATCGTCTAGATAAAGGGGAATAAGTCAACATGTTCAACATGTAAGATACTATAACTGTCAACAACAGAAGACGCTAGAATAATAAGACGAAAAAAAGTTAGAAATAGTGAAGAAAGTTTTCTTCCCAAAAAAGTGTTTTCACCAGAAATAGACAACTTTGAAGAATATATGAAAAGTTTGCAACAATACATCATTATCAAAGTTGTCAAAGAAGATAAAAGTGGTATTCTCGATTGCGCTATATCATTACTAAACACATCGAGATGCGTAGATCCTTCGCGACAAATTTGGAATATTATGGAAAATGTGGAAAAAGTATATAAACAAGCATTTTAGTCAGTCAACTTATAACTTAAGCTTACTTATACTTATAATAAAGAGTGATAAATTTGATAAATAGGTAGTTTTGTGATATTAGGAGTAATAATGCAGATAAAGTCTTTGATAAAATCGTCGTAAATACAACGACGTTTATTTATAGTTTGGTTTTACGTCAACGAACATTTGGGAATGGAGTGTATGCTTCCAAGCAAATTGAAGCGTCATTTAGAAGCTAAACACCACAGCATGGTTGGCAAACGTCGTATTTTTTTGCCTGGATGTGAAAAAATATAAAACAACAAAAAATACATTTTTTAAAACTGCATTAATACGAAAGAAGCTTTGCTAGCATCTTACAAGGTGAATTGCATAATCGCGAAAAGATAAAAGTCTCACATCATGGCAAAAGAACTTATTCTGCCGAATGCTGTAGATGAATAGAGGATATCAACGACAAATAACTGAAAAAATGAAGAAGTCGAATTTAAATTGCAGTTAGATGAAGCTACAGATAATAATAAGGATGCTTATTTGATATGCTATGAATAATTCATAGATGAATAACATTAATTTATAGAATAACATTAAAAAGCACCTCCTGTTTTGTAAATATATCATTGCAGGTGCAAAGAAGCAAGACCTATTGGAGATTCTTGATACATTCGTATCTGAAAATAATTTGAATTGGCCTAAATGCGTTGGTGTTCGTATTGATGGATTACAGACGCTTATTCGAAGCAAATCACCAAATGTACTGCAAACCCATTGCATTATTCTTAGAAAAACGCTTGCAATAAAATATTTAATTGTAAGTTCTGAATCAGGTTTTAAAATGTATAGGAAATGACATAAATTTTATAAAATCTCGTCCATTCAAGCCAAGGTTTTCCTAAAAAACTGTGTGTAAGACCCGAACATTGAATTGCGACAAGAAATTTTTATTTTCCTTAAAGAAGAAGAATACAAAGATGACATATTAAAGTAACACTTTTGTCCCTTTTGATATCAACGGAAAAAATATCAGCTTTTCGAAACTCAATCTATGGAAAAGATACGTGAATAAAGATGCAGGGAAAAATTGCTTTTTGAACTGTTTTAATGGACTTGATCTTTCTAAAGATAAAGAAACATGTTTGAAGAACAAGATTCAAGGTCTATTTAGTACTAACACTCCGTTTGAATATACTTCTGCATAAATAAAGAATTTTTCGACTTTGATAAATTCATTAAAAATTACGATTTGAGTTCTTGCTATAGTTTAAGACGTTATTCTTTCTTAAAAATAAGTTTACAGAATGATTGTCTGAGTTTCTTTAAACCAACGCAGATACCATTTGTATGGCAAGATATTTTACTCTATCTTACCTGCAGCTTGAACGATTAGTTCAAGCAGGTCCGATGCAACAGTTTAAACTTCCAAATGGTCAACTCTACTTCTTTCAGTTACTAATTGTAAGTCAAAAATAGGAGTACCTGAAAGATATTAATTAAGCAAAACAGTTTAAATTAATTCATCAGTTATAAGTGTCAAATTTGACAATTAAAACGTCAAAATTGACAACTTATAATTAGTTAACTAAATCGATTAATAATGAATTAATGAAAAGATCTTTCAATAATTATTATGCAAAACTAAATTAATTTACTAAAGATTTATAAAGAAATTATTTTAGATAAAACCAATAAAATGTTGGTGGTCTTTTAACGACTTTTTTATGATTTAGCTTTGACTGAGCTACTTACGTACGGTTAATATTTAAATAATTAATTAGAATATCTAACCACTTACCTTAAATAAAGCTAAACTAAAGGAAGTAATGAGATATAAAAGTACAGTATTATTATGCTATAACTTTTTCCATTAAATTTATAGGAGAAACCTTTTATGGGTATTTGATGTGAACATTTTATGTATTGAAAACAATCTTATTTATTATTTATTAAATAAACTTTAACTTTTGTAGTTTAATAACCCAATTTAATTCAAATATAATTAATTAATTAATAATAAAAAAAACAAACAATTTGTCAACTATCAACCACTTATCATACTATCGCCATCTATATTTCAGTTCGTGTATTTAATAAAAATTTGTGTTTATAATTAATTCCAAATATTATAAACTTACTTCTTACATTATTACTTTAATAATTAACAACTAAACTAAGTAGTAAGTATAATATAGTTAACTATATTCACCAATTATATAGGTACTTTTCTTATTCACTAACTTTATGTTGGTCACCCTGACAAGATCGACCGCGTGTGAAGTTAGCCCCAAACAAAAGTTCTTCTATAACAAGGCACATCATGGCGCCCGTGTAAGTAAATTTTTTTCTTAAAAATCTTCAAACATCTTTATATTTATAACTGTAATTAATATCTAAACCAGTTCCTTTATTAATTTACTTCACCCCCTTTTCGTTTCAAACCATATTTTCCAATTTTTCATCCTCACAACAAACATTATTCTAAGGAACATGTTGACGTTTCCGTACTTAACCTCAAAAACTTATATTTTTGTAGGGATAAAAAGGCGAAGCCCGTTAAAACGGCAAAGGGATTACCCGCCGTACCAGAATCCGTATTAAAAAGGCGTAAGAAGCGTTTGGCGATTAAACAAGGCTTGAAGAAATCGATTATCAAGAAGAAAACTGATGATATTAAGAAGAGGAAACTTATCTTTAAACGTGCTGAAGAGTATGTTAAAGAGTACAGATTGAGAGAAAGGGACGAAATTAGGCTTGCAAGACAAGCTAGGACTCGTGGAAATTATTATATTCCTGGTGAAGCTAAATTGGCCTTTGTAATTCGTATCAGAGGGTAAGTTCGACTTTTATGGTTAATTTATAAGAAAATATTGGACATTTTTCAAAATAAGCAATGAAATTATTATTGTTTATTTTCCATGCTGTCCAAAATCATAATGTTTATGTTGTTAAAGAATACTTTGAGGTTGTATTTTTAGTTATAGCTTTTTAATCTTTAACAACAATAATCTAAATTTAAATTAATCTAGTTTTAAATTAAGTGTATTCTAATTTTATTTATTTCTAGTATCAATAAGGTTGCTCCAAAAGTAAGGAAAGTTCTTCAACTTTTCCGTCTCCGCCAAATCAACAATGGAGTTTTCATTAAATTAAATAAAGCCACGATTAACATGCTTCGTATTTGCGAACCTTACATAACTTGGGGTTACCCTAATTTGAAATCAGTTAGAGAATTGATTTACAAACGTGGTTTTGGGAAAGTGAAGGGACATCGTATTCCAATCACTAGCAATCAAATTATTGAAGATAAATTGGGTGCTTCGAACATCATTTGTGTTGAAGATTTGATTCATGAAATCTTTACTGTTGGACCAAAGTTCAAGTATGCTTCTAACTTCCTCTGGCCATTCAAGGTAAGAATATTAATAAAAATATTTTTAAAGTTTATAATTATTTTTTTTTTTTTAGCTTAATACACCTACTGGAGGATGGCGCAAGAAGACAAATCACTATGTTGAGGGTGGTGATTTTGGTAACAGGGAAGACAAAATTAATGAGTTACTTAGAAGGATGGTCTAAGTAATGTTTTTTTATCTTCTGAGTTAATAAATAAGTTATAAAAAGATTTTTGATCGTTTTATTTTTTTACTACAAATTGTATGTTTCTTTTTGAAGTTTAATATAAAGCTCAATTTTTTTAGTTATATTAATTCTAATTTAACAGTAACCTAGTTACCATTGCAATAACATACATACATATACAGTGTGTTAATTAATGATCCTACCGACAAAGTATGCAACCACCCCAGCGATCTTTGATAGGAGAACTTGGGACTGATTGTATCATTGATTATACTACTCCAGATTGCTAACCATATGTATAAAATCGGCAACTGTATATGTTGGGTTGCATCACGCACTGTTTATTCTCAAAAAGAGAATAAATGTAGATAAGTGAGATAGAGTCATAATAAGAAAAGAGACGATCAATTAGCCCCGACCTCAAAGGACGTCACCTATATATATATATATATATATACACACTGTATCTAAATGACATCAAAGAAATAGCACCTGAAAAAGTTTTCTTCATCTCTCTAATTATCCGAGGAATAAAATGCTTTCACTTTGCTCAAGGGTTTAATGTTTAAGGGTCGATAGCTAACAATTAATACATAAAGTTCATTGGTGTTACTAAGATACAATCATTACTATTTAAAATTCTCCTTAGAAAGAATCTTAAAAACGCACCAAAATGAAGTAGGACTAATAAACATTTTACTTCTTTAGTGATTTGATGGCGTGAATTGGCGCACGCATCTATTAAAGAAAAAAAAATTAAATAAAATAAAAGTTATGTAAAGCAAACGCTAGGGCCTCCGTGCCTAACTGTGGGATCAACTATTGAAACAAATTATGAAAGAAATAAATAAATATAATCTATTTAAATAAATTAAAGAAAAAATACAATATTTAAGGCATATATTCGAACATAGACGCTACAATACTAATTATTATAAATTATCTTATCGCATATACTCTAATAACGACTACTTACATAAACTAATTTAGGTACTAAAATAAAAATAAAAAATTCTTATTAGCGGTAATGGTGAGGAAAACGAGAATAAATAAAGAAAACTTAGCGTAAATCTAGCTTAAACTATGGGCACAAACGAGAGAAGAATCATGTTTAAAGAATCTGCCAGTTCCAAGATTCCGGAGGAGACTGAAAGCTATTGTCACGGAAAATCCGATATATACCATTGACATGTTTTTCCAATTTAATGTTTGAATTCAATTTGTATTATATCACAATGTAATTATTGTTAAATTGACGCACTCTATGCTTTTTTGTAAAATGGAGAAATAAAATATTATTATTAAAATATTAAAAATATTATTCCTTGTGGAAAATATATTGAATACTTCCATATCTTGAGCTAGTGTACCATATGTACATATGAATAGAACATTCGTGCAAAATTATTTAATATTAAAATAGTATTATTTAAGTGTTTGCCGAACCTATCCTTTGATATCGACTCCTTCCGCTGACAGAATGAGAGTCATTCGGCTTGCGCATACTACATATCAATCCTATTATTCCACGTGGAAAATAATCATGATGCAGATATACCCACTTCATAGGCATGCTGGAGGGTTTGTAAGCCTCGCTAACGACAATGCCTCCATGAAAGTACTACCTCTCATTGAGATCAGAGCATCATGGTTATTTTCCACGTGGAATAATAGGATTGATATGTAGTATGCGCAAGCCGAATGACTCTCATTCTATCAGCGGAGGGAGTCCATATCAAAGGATAGGTTAGGCAAACACTTAAATAATACTATTTTAATATCAAATTATTTTGCATGATTATTCTATGTATATGTATATATGGAAAACTAGCAGCTTCAGATATGGAAATAGCCAACGTTCCACATTGGAGCACCAGACTCATCCGCGAGTCCATCGAAATAGAGAAGAACGGTACCTTCAACAAGAGAGATGACGCCCTGCACTTGTCAGCCACTTGGAAAACGGTCCTACACCGTCCCCGATCCGGAGCAGCCTTCCTGAGGGAGGGGATTTTGGGCAGACCATAGAGTTTGGGGCACCTGCTTGATTTTTCCCGAGGGATTAAGGTTTTCTTGATCTCGGGGCCTATTGGAGATGCCTCTATTATCGATTTGGTGGTTTTTTTCCAGGTAAGTTGTATGGTTTTTTGCTGCTAAAAAAAATTAAAAGTCGTATAAACGATGAAAATATTTTATTTCGGTGCTATCTTCGAAGATTTCGAACGATTATCGTTCTTCTTCAGGCAAGACTAAGGAACATTCAGATATAACAAAAACACAGATAAAAAATATATATAATTACCGTCGGTGTAGGAGCATCGAGAGTGAAGAGAGTATTGTTTCAGAGTATTTCTTCAAAAAGATTCCGTTTACGAAAAATTGAAATGTAAAAAAACTTGAAGAGTAAATTGAAAAATCCAAAAAATTAAAATGGCGTTTTTCTATTCATCGTAAATCTCGTTTTTCAAAGTGTTTAAAAATAAATGTTAAAAATTAACGACAAAACAAATTACCAAACCGGTAGAGAAAGAACCATAATAACTAAATATAAGAAATCAAAAAAGAAAGAACATTTTTAAACTTACAATTAACACGTTAAAATTTCCTTTAAAATGAAATAACTTGAGTCAACATGATGAGGGATGAAATTGGACTGAAGGTCATAAGGAACGTTCGCCAGATGATAAAGGTGAAAGTGTGAGGGAAAACGAGTGGGAATAAGAACGTCAACATAAAATCTTTCCATACTAAATTAATTCTTCGCATCATTAAAAATCTGAAACATAAAATTAAAATAGAAAATCGTATTGTTACCATGGGAGACAAAAATTCAGGCCTCGTTGAGTTGGATAAAGAGTCATACATAAAAAAGACATTAACAATACAAAATAAAGTGTTAGGCTCGTCGAAAGTATTACATTATTGGTGGCCTAAGGTTGTCCGCATATTTTGTATTGTGCCCATGAACAATGGAGCCTCTTGTTAACACATCTTTTCTTCCATGAACATGCAAAATACAGGCAAGCATATATTCACACGGTATGGTAAGTATATTATTGAGGAATACTTGCCTGCAACTTTCCCGGTAACCCATTCTATAAACCACACTTACAGCTTCTTTTTGTTTCAGAAACTCTTTGCTTGCAGAAGTTGATGACCCTCATATTAATATACCATATGTGGCCACAAAATGAAACAAGGAAACGTAAACACAATGCGCTGCTTCGTAGGTTGCAGTTTTCCTAAGCATTCTGATGGTGTAGATAGCACTACTTAGCTTCGCCGTGACATTCTGGACATAGTTTTCAAAGGTAAGTTTCTGGTCCAGTAGAATACCAAGGAATTTTATACATCTGTTGCCACCTTCCATCTTGGTCGTGAACTTTAATACGCGTACTGAAGTATGACAGGGGCATTTACGTTTATCTGCCAATCGTTGGTGTATATTAAATAGAGCAACGGACCAAGAATAGAGCCCTGTGGGACACCTATATTCATTACAGTTTCTGTGGAACTTTGTTGTTTCAATTCTACAAATTGTATCCTGTTTGTCAGGTATGTTTCTATTACTTTATTACTGACACTTCTAATTCTATAAAAATGCATTTTTCTAAGTAATATTTTGTGATCCATGGTGTCAAACCTTGCTTAAATCACAGAAAATAGCTTCCACCTTCCTGCTTTTATCAATAGCTTCGAATATGCATTCAATCAATATGTGCCATAGCTGTTAGTGTGGATTTTCCCCGTCTGTAATTTTCTAAATAGTGCCTTTTTAAGAACGTCTTGGAATATTCCATCCGCAAAAGAATTGTTGATCATAATACATATCACGTCAGCAATGTAGGGTATGATTAGTTTTAGCAGTTTTACGGAGAGGCCAAAAGCATCTGGTGTCGTTTTGCTTTTTAGATTGTAGACAATTTGTAGTACTTCCTCGTTAGTGGTTGGAAAAAGAAAAAATGACAATTGAGGATTCATTGGCACGTTTTGCACCGGCGATGTTGGGTTGCAATCGGAATTGATTGTTTTTGTCGCATTTTTGCCGATTGCGGTAAAAAAGTCATTTAGTTCTTGTCATCATTCATATTGCTAGCATATCAACACCAGCGTCTCGGTGCTTACAATTTATATAATGCTTCATTGCAGTGTTGACCAGGTTTCTGTCGATATATCGACTCTCACGAGTTACTCACATCAACACCAACGCCTCGACCGCAAGCGACCTCGGCGTTTTATATATATATTATGCTTCATTACAGTATTGATCATCTTTGTATCGATAGCATATCAACACTACCGCAAGCAACCTTAGCGTTTTGAATATATATTATGCTTTATTATAACGTTGAGCAGGTTTCTGTCGATATCATATCGGCTCTAACGCCTCGGCCGCAAGCGACCTCGGCTTTTTGAGTATAAATAACGTTGTATTACAATGTTAGCCAGTGAGGTGTATTCGGTTGATGAAGACGTCTTTTATTACTTATTTTATAAGGATACTTAACATAAGTACTTAACATTTTCACTATATTTATCAGGACCATTTCTGACCTTCCAGAATATCTTCAAATTCTTCTTGAGTATTGACCATAAATTTTCAATAAGATTGAGATCTGGGCTTTATGATGGTGTTTTGAAGTACTTTGGACAGTTGTACAAGGTCCAAAAGTCTAACGCCGGATGCTTCGGATACTATATAAGTTAAAAAGTGATTTACTTCAATTCAAATTTCCCACAAAATTCTCATTTCTTTCAATATAATAAACATGAAAACGAGTTTACTTTTTTATAATAACCTACATGTTGACATTTCAATCCACAAATCTCAATAAGCGTCTCTTTAAATTATTATATCTTCAAAAGATGTGTAATTTTATGTGTAAAAATCAATGTGAATCCATTGTTAAATATAAATCGGTGCCTATTATCACCAAAATTCTTGGGGTGGTGGTTAAAAAGAATAAAAAGCCCACCAAATACTACCAAAGGAAGATTAAGAAAAAGAAGGATCAAGAAAGAAACGTTAAAACAAATTTCAAAAGTGCTTTAAAAATGTATTTCCAAACTCATTACAGGAATGCTTTTAATCGCGAGATAAATTTGTTGAAAACGGTTTTGTTAAAGAATATTTTGTTGAACGAGTATGGTGTTAAAATGGAAACAATGGGAATAGTAAAGTTGTAATTTATTTTTAGTTTAGATTTAATTGTAATACTTTTTTGTGAATAAAGGTTGGTGTTTTTTGGGTATAAAATTGTGTAACCATTTCTTAATAACAAGAAATACAAAAAAAAATGATTTACTTAATAAATAAATATTACATTATAATGATAAATGTAATTATACGGTAATAATGACGTTCATTAATGTTTTAAAACCAATTCCGGGTAAAACCCTAAACTACTTTGCCTTCGGTTGATGGTGTTGCCACAACACTCCAAATTTAACGAATTCTGATTAGTCATAAGTTCTAGTTGACCTTTATCGTTAAATCATAGTAATTTGAAAAATATGCCAAGAGTTTTATGGCGAAAATATAACATTTCAACGAAATATTATTCCAAAACAACGGAAGAGACGGTTCGAGCGGAAAATATAAGAAGCGCCTTAAAATTTTATGTTAAATGGTATTGTAATAAATATGGGAATGAATCACACAATTTGGTTGTTAAAACTCTTGTTAAAAACACACTTTATCGACATTTGTGGGATAAATACCGAGTTAAGTTTGAAACTATTGCGGTTACCACTGTTTAAGAGGTAAGTTCATCTTAGTAACAAATTATATATTTATTTAAATATAAATAAAATTTTCTTTTGAAGATTTTAATGGAGGAATTAGTTATCAATGCGGGGGCATTTCTATTGTATATTATGAGATAAATGTTGTATTATTTTTCAAATGAAGGTGAAGTAAAATTAAAACTGTAATTAATCTATATGTGTTTAAATGTAAGCATAATAATATATTAACCCAAAAGTTGAAATTTAGAACTTTTGTATTCAAAATTATGAAACTTACAATGATTTAGAAGACCCTGTGGTTTAGAATAAAATTAACACAATAAAGAAAAAAGGGTAATATTTAAAACTAAACTGATGTCAAATACTGAATAATTTGTCAACCTTATCTGTGAAAAAAACAGTTTTAGGGTGAGATATAAAAAAATAAAAACAAACATTTTAATAAAGAAGTAAATGATCTATATCAAAATATTGAATATTTTTATCATAATTGATAATTGATCATATATTAAAAGAAGAGACTTTTATGACCAGAAAGATAGAGTAATCGTAAGAGCCTAACAAAATAACGAACCTGTCTTTGTTTAATTTTTTTAAGTTTGTTATGATATTAGAGATAAAATTCGAGACATTAAGCTATTACTTTAATTAATGCTCTTGTATTTTTTTATTCTACCCCACAGTTTATATATATTTGATGAGTATCGTTCACAATCAGATTAGATATACACCTTACAAAGTACCTTGTTATTTGTCACTATTCTTGTATTGAGCATTGCAAACAATGTGTTGTATATTTCTTCTTTGTTTCCTGTTAATTCCATCAGGTAAAATGTTAATTTAATCAAACTATTTTACATACGTTTCATTGTTTAGGTGTTCTGATGGACAATCCATTAAAATTATTACAATCAAATGTCGCGACTTACGAAGGTGGTGCTTTTTTTCAAAGAGTTGAAGATGTTTCAGCCATTTCTAGCTGTACAACAAATTTTTTTGATGCTGAATCTAAAATAATAATTGATTTGGATATCGATAGTAATGAAGCTACTTTTCCGAAAGATTTCCAGGTATTTTTTTCAGTTTTTAAGAAGTTTACTTGAATAATGCTACCTGGTAACAACATTTTTTAGATCGGTAATATTGATATAAAACCAATAAATTGATTAATTGATGTGTATCTATTGAGAAAGTTCTCCAACTTTATTATCTTTAGAATATACTGTTATTATAATTTTGTTTTCATTATGATTATTTTTTCATATTACAGTAAAATCTCGATATAACGGATAAAATATTTTTAACTCATACTATTAGTATTATCTATTTAATACATCAGTATAAAGGTGTTAACCCATACTTGTACCTGTTACTTTGGAACAAGTATTTGTATGTTCTTCCTTGGGACAGTTACTAAATTTAGAAAATGATAGGTACTAGATACTAGTTTTATAAGCGATTTTTAACGATTCCTACCCAACGTTACTTATTTTTCAGTATGGATATCTTCTACCGTAGAAAATGATTTCATTTAACATTTTTTATTAATAACGTCTTTCTCCATTAGTTTTAGTACTTAGGTTATAGTTGATTTTATTAAGAAAATTCGTCCAATTTTGATATTTTGTGATTTAAGCTATATCATACAGAAACTGGTAATAGACAGATATGAAATAATTCTGGATTATGATTTTATGATGCACCAGCAACAATTTTTATTCATAACGTCCTTCTTCAACAGTTTTAGTACTTACAATTAGTTCATACTTCATTTTATTAAGAAAATTCGTCCAATTTTAACATTTTGTTGATTTATGCTATATCATACAGAAACTGGTAATAGATAGATATGANGATTATTTTTTCATATTACAGTAAAATCTCGATATAACGGATAAAATATTTTTAACTCATACTATTAGTATTATCTATTTAATACATCAGTATAAAGGTGTTAACCCATACTTGTACCTGTTACTTTGGAACAAGTATTTGTATGTTCTTCCTTGGAACAGTTACTAAATTTAGAAAATAATAGGTACTAGATACTAGTTTTATAAGCGATTTTTAACGATTCCTACCCAATGTTACTTATTATTCAGTATTGATATCTTCTAACGTAGAAAATAATTTCATTTAACATTTTTTATTAATAACGTCTTTCTCCATCAGTTTTAGTACTTAGGTTATAGTTGATTTTATTAAGAAAATTCGTCCAATTTTAACATTTTGTTGATTTATGCTATATCATACAGAAACTGGTAATAGATATGAAATAATTCTGAATTATGGTTTTATGATGCACTAGCAACAATTTTTATTCGTAACGTCTTTCTCCATCAGTTTTAGTATTTAGGTTATAGTTGATTTTATTAAGAAGATTCATCCAATTTTGATATTTTGTGATTTAAGCTATATCATACAGAAACTGGTAATAGATAGATATGAAATAATTCTGGATTATGATTTTATGATGCACCAGCAACAATTTTTATTCATAACGTCTTTCTTCAACAGTTTTAGTACTTATAATTAGTTCATACTTCATTTTATTAAGAAAATTCGTCCAATTTTAACATTTTGTTGATTTATGCTATATCATACAGAAACTGGTAATAGATAGATATGAAATAATTCTGAATTATGATTTTATGATGCACTAGCAACAATTTTTATTCATAACGTCTTTCTCCATCAGTTTTAGTACTTAGGTTATAGTTGATTTTATTAAGAAAATTCATCCAATTTTGATATTTTGTGATTTAAGCTATATCATTACAAACTGGTGGTAGATAAATATGAAGTAATTCTGGATTATGATTTCATGATACATTAGGAATGTCTTTTATTCGTAATGTCTTTCTCCATCAGTTTTAGTAGTTAGGTTATACTTCATTTTATTTAGAAAATTCGCCCAATTTTATCATTTTGTTGATTTATGCTATATCATACAGAAACTGGTAATAGATAGATATGAAATAATTCTGGATTATGATTTTATGATGCACCAGCAACAATTTTTATTCATAACGTCTTTCTTCAACAGTTTTAATGCTTACAATTAGTTCATACTTCATTTATTAAGAAAATTCGTCCAATTTTACCATTTTGTTGATTTATCCTATATCATTAGAAACTGATAGATAGATATAATATAATTCTGGATTATGATTTCTTGATACATTAGGAATGTCTTTTATTAATAACGTCTTTCTTCATCAGTTTTAGTACTTAGGTTATAGTTGCTTTTATTTAGAAAATTCATCCAATTTTGATATTTTGTTGATTTATGCTATATCATTACAAACTGGTGGTAGATAAATATGAAATAATTCTGGATTATGATTTCATGATGCATTAGCAACATTTTTTGTTTATGACGTCTTTCTCCATCAGGTTTAGTACTTACGGTACAGTTGATTTCATTAAAAAAATTCGTCCAATTTGGACATTTTGTTGATTTATGCTATATCATTACAAACTGGTGGTAAATAAATATGAAATAATTCTGGATTATGATTTCATGATGCATTAGCAACATTTTTTGTTTATGACGTCTTTCTCCATCAGGTTTAGTACTTACGTTACAGTGATTTCATTAAAAAATTCGTCCAATTTGGACATTTTGTTGATTTATGCTATATCATTGGAAACTGGTAATAGATAGGTATGAAATAATTATTGATTATGATTTCATGATGCATTAGCAACATTTTTTGTTTATTACGTCTTTCTCCATCAGTTTTAGTACTTACGTTACAGTTGATTTCAGTAAAAAAATTCGTCCAATTTAGACATTTTGTTGATTTATGTTGTATCATTACAAACTGGTGGTAAATAAATATGAAATAATTCTGGATTATGATTTCATGATGCAATAGCAAAATTTTTTGTTTATGACGTCTTTCTCCATCAGTTTTAGTACTTACGTTACAGTTGATTTCATTAAAAAAATTCGTCCAATTTGGCCATTTTGTTGATTTATGCTATATCCATAAGATTTATGGTAAATAAATATGAAATAATTCTGGATTATGATTTCTTGATGCATTAGAAATGTCTTTTATTCATAACGTCTTTCTTTATCAGTTTTAGTACTTATGTTATAGTTAATCTTATTAAGAAAAATCGTCCAATTTTGACATATTGTGATTATACTATATTACTAGAAACTGGTGATAGATAAATGTGAAATAAGTATGGGCTATGATTTCTTGATGGATTAGGAATATTTTTTATTCGTGAAATTAGTGTTAATCCGTTATAGGGAGGTTTTACTTATTACATATTAATTTTTTTTTCATGTTTTTTTTTAGGATAAAACTAATTTAAAAAGTCGTTTACACAGTCTTGGCTCTGGTTTTTGCGGTTTTAAAGTTGAAAATGTATCATTAAATGATCCAACCAGTTGGATATTAAATGTAACATCAAATGGAAAAAACAGCGTGGCTAACTTTGAACTTAGCATTTATAGTAATAAATAACTTTTATTTTACCAATTTTTATTATTCTAAATCTTCACAGAAATCGAAAATATGGATACCGTCAAAGAAGTAACAATTGGATCCAGTATGGTTATTAGTTGTCTTGTCTGTGTTAACTGTGGTGAAACTTCATCAAAAATATATTATTGCTTCTTATATAATCCCAAGGGAGAATTAATCCATAAGTCAACCGAGGAATGTTGGTATTTTGCCGATGTTGCTACAAATGAAGATATTGGAGATTGGAAATGCGTTATGGGTAGAACTCCTTACATTAAACCCTTAGAGTATAAAATTACTGTAAAAACAAAAGGTAATTTAACAAATAAGTTTAAATAGAAAATAACGCATAAAATCATAGAAATCCCTCAACATGAAATGTGGCGAAACGAAACGAACGATTACATTTCAATTGGGTGTATAATAAAAAACATTTCTCCCCAAACACATTGTATAATGACTTTGCCAACGGGAGAAAAACTTTTAATTCAGACAGGAAGCGCTTCTTCTAGATACACAAGTATTTATACAAATCTTCAAGAAAATATCTGCGCAATAGAGGTATTTATTTAAATATCATTAACATAACATAACCGATCAAGATAATATTTGCAGATACAAAAACCACTTTTAGATACAGAAATAGGACCTTGGAAATGCGAAATCAGTAACGAAGGTTTATTAATTCAAGTTGGTGATATAAAAGTTATTCATGATGTCGAATCCACGACATCAACGGTAACCGATTTAGGGAAATCGTTTCAAATTAATTGTCAAGTTTCTTATTCGATTAATTATTGTTTCATAACAAGTCCAATAGGTGAAAGATATGAGATAAAAGAATCAGTAGTCATAACAGACAGTCAAATTAGACCTGGATTGGGGGAATGTTGGCTTGAAGTAAACAAGGCTTTACCTGAACATAACGGAACTTGGATATGTTCGTTTATTAAAAAAGATGATGTGGTAGCTGGTCAACAAAAAATTGATGTAAATTATTCTCAAATATTCACCCAAAATTTTAACAATATGTATTTCTTTAGGTTTTTGTTAGAAACGTTATAAAACATTCAGAGAAAGTGTCAAGCTTGATAGGAAATGAAGCAACCATGTATTGTAACAGCCCAAGATCTGCCGTTGAATATTGTTGGTTTATTTCACCGACAGGAAAAACATATCAACTTACAAATAAAGTAGACGCAATGGGGTAATTGACCTTGAATTATTAAAAATTACATTATCAATTTTTTTTCAATTTCGTAGAATCTCTTATATTGGAGATGGTTTGGAATTTGGAGAGTGTGGAATGAAAATATATAACGTACAAGAAGAAGACGTTGGAAATTGGTCGTGTGTTTTAAACATTGGAGAAAAGGAATACGTTAACTTAATTGTACTTGATTTAAATCCAGGAGGTTAATTTTTTTTCATTTTTTAATTCATTTCTATTGACTTAAATCAAAATTTTTATGCAGGGTATTTCTAAAATATAGGTACAAATGAGGTGCTAGCTCCTCAGATGATTTTGAATCACATTTACATTATACACTTTAAGTAATGGGTTTAGAATTATTATTATTGACATTCGAATATAAGATTTTCACATGGTGTACACTGTCATGATTGCAAAGGATTGAGATATCTTTTCTGAAAGTACGAAAAAGTGCTTGGTATCACAGTTGATAAATACTCAAATAAATACTAATACATCTGAAATCATTTCCGCAGATTCCTTGTTTCTCCCGTGAAGTTACAAGAAGATCTTTTAGTTGCAAGAAAATGTCCTTACTCACTACATCTACAGGTCTCATTGCAGTATTAGCAGAAAGTTGTGCTCATTTTATGACAAACACCGAATTAGTAATTTTATTTATCATATTTCCTTCTTCATAAGGTTTCTTCTCATGTGTAATTATTTGCAACACAGGATCTGACGCCTAAGTTGACATAGAGAAGACTTTTGAGTCTTGAACTGAATCTCCCATCTTATTATCTCATCTTGCGTTATTGTTGCTTTCGGGTTTCGACAAATAAGACACATTTTGTGCTAATCAATATTGATTGAATGGCAATTGGCCCAAGCGTAATCGGACAAGATAATACGTCTTAGGAAGGAGAACAATACTAATTTCTCGAACGAATTGTGACTGGTTCAATGACAATGAAATTGGAAGTGATACAAGCAACGTAACTTTGGCAAAACCGATGGAAAAATTCAGAAAAAGGAAAAAGAACATCGAAAGAAAGGTTGATAATGTTTATTACTATATCAGTGAGCTCCGTATTCTGCAAGATTTCCAACATCTTCCATTGTACTAGTTATAATTCATCTGTTATTCATGCAGTTTAGTAATACATTTTCGCTTGCCTGCATGTTCCATGTGTTCTATGTCTACCTAATTGATAGTAATCCGTTCCATAAACTATACATATAATGAAGTAATTTTGGGAATACTTTCGTGTTACTTGCTGATTGTAAAACATTACTTGCTCTTTGTAAAACATACCAAATTCTGGCTCTAAAGCAGTGAGTTAAACTTTACCACAATTAAATGGTAAGTTTGGCAGTGAACGCATAGTGTCAACTCCAAATGAAGATCAACCATGCATTTAAAGGTGTTTCGAGGTATTTCTCTTTATATTAATTTTCCAAGTTTGTCATCAACCTCTGTCATAGCTAGTTCTTCATAGCCAAACGCACCGTTTGGAAGTTAAGTTTGCTCCCGTATGGGAAAATCGTTACTGCTCTGGTGATGGTATTTGATGGCCTCGAATACTTGAAGATTGTGAGATTTTTCAAAAATTCTCGAGTGGTTTGCTTTCTTAAATGCTTGACTTAACATGACTGCTTAACAGGCTGAAGTCAATTTTTGTTTTGTAAAAATTTTGAGTCTGCTATTTAGATGAGCAATTGTGGGTTATGATTCTTTTGGACAATACAGAGAGAGGTCCCTTAACTCGTACAAGCAGTCATTTTCGTGATGTTTTCCTTTTCATTTCCGTGTATTTCTCAACAGTTAATTTAATATCAACCGCATCTTTTTCTGACCTTACTCTTTCTTGCTAAGTTTGTCCGATTCCTATTTTGTGGTAATTTTCAAGTTGCAAACTTTAGATTTTAGGCTCTTTTTCCGTAGTTAAAGTTCTGAATATATGATCTATCCTTCTGATCACATTGAATTAGGTTGTGAGTAGTAGGTGACATTTCTGCAATGAGATGTGCTAACGCCTTGCCACTGAACAATTTTAAATTTAAAGTTAAAATTTTCATTGAATTCCTTTTTGTTAATCCCCCATCATCATCTGAAAGTACATGTTATAACTTTTTTATAATATACAAGTTGCCTTCCTGGCAACAATCAGGTTTCTACTCCCAAGACTGTGATGCATTTTTCCCAGTTCTGAGATACTAAGCACCATTGCCGTGTCCCACGTGTTTTGGGAAAAACTTCAAGGTTATCTCTACATGGCGTTATACCTCATTATTATTATTTACATCGATTGCTTAATACTTGAAATTCCTCTCTAAATAAAAACATACAAAAAAAAATTAAATAAACATTGTTCTGTAAATAGGTAATTATCGAGATCCAAGGTTTTAGTTTTATATACTATCTCATTATTAGCATCTAACAGCTGTAAATAAACTTCCAAATTGTTGGTAATTTCTTAAAAAATTAACACCATGACCTAAAATCAAGTAAAAGGGTAAAACGTGGTTGTTTATTTAATATCAATTCATTATTAAACGTATGGTTTTAGTTCGTTGACACAGAAATATCCATTTTTCTCAGAATCATCTAAGGAATTATCTGTGTAAATTTGTACCTAACAGTTATAACTTTCTCCTTGCCACAAATTTTTCTTTCACTAAATATTTTTTTAGGTCCGATATCTTTGGCAGCTAGTTTAGGTGCTGGAATTGGTTCAAGTATAATTTTATTGGTTGCAATGGCAGCGGTTTTATACCATAAATATAGAAGAGTACCTCAACATACTCAACCTAATCAAGAAGATGCAGCTTCGGATACAAGCTCGGAAATAGTTATTTTAAGCGAACAAAGCACACTTCAACGCAATCGTGCCGATCAACTTCCGCAATACACGTTTTAAATTAAATTGTATTGCGTGAATGTTATCTTAATTACATAAAATTCCCTGTAGTAATTAACATATACGTTTTAGTTACTACGAAAATATACTGTTTCAATCAATACACATTTCCACCTCAAAGAAATAATGTTGTTTGCTTTTATTCCACCTATTCAAACAAAAAATTTATCATCACAATTGATAAAAATAATTCTTTGTTCTATCAAAGTGTGAGGAAGCAAATAAAATTCATCGCAACATGAAAACTAAATCGAATAAACTGTGCCTTTGTCGAGCTTTAATGCCGATGTTATTTTCAACAAAAATCTTCGGAATGATACCAATGACTTCGACCCACAAAAATAATCAATGCGTCTTTAAAACGTGTAAATGGTACATGGTTTGGTCGGTTATTATAGTTTTAATTTTGATTGCTCATTTGACGATGATGTACGGGGAAATTATGGATTTGTTTCGAAAGGAAATTTCGTCACACACATCGTTACATTCGACTCTAATCAATATTATCAGTGCGATTTATTGCGTTCATATAGCGATTTTAACAGTGATATCAATCTTTAAAACGCCGAAAGTTGCCAAAACCCTAAACAAAATGTCTTTGGTACTAAAGGAGGGGCTACTTTGTCAAAGTTCGCTTAAAATTGTGTTAAACCTTCAATTTGGTTTTATTGGTATTGCATTTTTAACGATGATAGTTCAATTATCAGCCGTGATTTACATACACTTTTCGGGAAATTACGAAATTAATTTTGGTTATAAACATTTTTCTTCGCAATTTTTTCAAAATATGACGTTCGTTTTTTATATAGTATTTTTATCGTATTGCGCGGTTTTTATGGGGATATTGGGTTGTTTTGAAAAATCACTTTTATTTCTTATTAATTTTCAAGAAAGTCATCCTCTTGACGGTGTGTATCTTACGAATAATAATAATCGTTTTATGGGGATACGTTATGAATTATGCAAATCAAATCATTTCAATAATAATTTATTAAGGAAATTTAAATCACATGAAATAATTGATTATCTTAGGAGTTTACACGAAGAAATATGCGGATTAATTTACGACTGTAACCAATGTGTTAATCCTCAATTGTTATGTCACTTGGTTGTTGAAATAGCAGCGTTAATAATTAATTATTACGCGGTAGTTATTTATATTGTATACGATTTTAACAGCTCAATATCTAATACTATTCACTTTCTAAATTGCCTTTTTGTTGTTGTTCACACTTTTGGTGTTTTGATTTTTTTAAATAATTCACAACAATTACAGAACATGGTAAGAATTAATTTTTTTATTGTTGAAGTGTTGAGTGGTAAATTTTGTTGTAGATTAAAGGATTAATTCCTATTTTATTGGAGTATTCTACAAAGCTTGATTCACCGGAAGAACACCTACAAGTTACGTTGTTTATAGATAAATTAAGACAACATCGACCCGTTAGTGCTTCTGGAGTTGTTGATATTAATATGAATATTGCTGGATCTGTAAGTCAAAAAATTTCATTTAAATTTTGTTTTTTTACAATTTCCTTTTGATATTTTAAATTGTTGGAATTGCTGGAATCTTTGCGAAACGGATCAATGAGAATCTATTATACAGGTGTCCCATCGGTTGTGGTATAGGCTTTTTTGACATCTAAATTTCAAGATAGAAACACCAAATTCGATATGTATTAAGCCACCCTACTTGGCTTCGGCAAAATTTATGGTTTTATTTTTTAACGGTTCTTATACCATATGATGTGGGAGTCATAGTAAACTACAGTGTGTTAATTAATTATCATATCCGACGTCATCATTGCAAGTATGCAACCAATATCACAGTATTGGTATTGCAATACGCGTGTTGCGCATTTGGTTGCATACTTGATGACGTCGGGTACGATAATTAATTACCACAGTGTAAATTCACACCAAAAAATTTGCGATTTATTCATTATTTACGACAAAAATGAAGAAAAATGAAATGACAGTTAAATTTCTTGGTCTCTGGTTACCCAACCGGCAATAAATGAGCGGCTCCTAGTAAGGGTAAAAATTTGTTGTAAGTAATGCCGCTTAATAAAAGTTTCACACGTGATTTTATGATAATGTTCAAACTTTCGTTAATTTCAGTGCAATTTACGAACTCGCCCTGAGGAAGTAGATACGAAATATTTCCAGAATCAGTTGAATTGCGGTTTTATTGCCCACAATCCTTCCTGAGAACATTAATTATCCTTCAAACTGCTAACGGAATTGAGGAAAAAATCTCCTGCTTGGTAAAAATTTAGACAACCGATGGGACACCTGTACATTCAGTAAAATACTAAAAGGAAGTGTTAAAAAGGATTTTTGTGAAGTTGAAAGCTATTAAGATAATTTTGACGTTTATTGTAGATTTGTGCTAACATTCTCACTTATGTTTTGGTTGCTTTACAATTTGAAGTATCAAAGGAATAAAATTGAACTGCAATAAATAAGGCAAGTAATATTTTCACGTAACATTTATTAAGTAACCTCAACAACAAAAGTATTTACAAAGTTTTAAGAGAGATAAAAAACTATTTACAAAAGATTTTCTATGTTGTTCTTTAAAGAATAACCTAATCGTATCCTCCATGACCACCATGGCCGCCTCCGCCCCCAAATCCACCTCCCCCTCCGTATCCACCACCTCCCCCATGTCCTCCGCCGCCTCCATGGCCACCTCCAAATCCTCCACCGCCGCCGTAGCCACCACCTCCTCCTCCATGTCCACCGCCACCGCCATATCCACCACCTCCTCCATGTCCGCCACCTCCTCCATGTCCGCCACCCCCTCCATAACCGCCGCCGCCTCCAAATCCACCACCTCCTCCGTGGTGATCATCAAAACTACCTCCTCCTCCAAATCCACCGCCTCCTCCTCCTCCATAACCACCGCCTCCTCCTCCACCGTGATGATCATCAAAACCACCTCCTCCCCCGTATCCACCTCCACCACCGCCTCCGAAGCCTCCTCCTCCACCTCCATGGTGATCATCGAAACCGCCTCCATGGCCTCCTCCACCTCCTCCTCCATAACCACCACCGCCTCCGAAACCTCCTCCTCCTCCATAACCGCCTCCACCTCCGTGGTGATCATCAAAACCGCCGCCACCTCCGTGTCCACCGCCTCCTCCAAAACCACCACCGCCTCCTCCTCCATAACCACCGCCGCCGCCATGATGGTCGTCGAAACCACCACCGCCTCCTCCAAATCCTCCTCCTCCTCCATAACCACCGCCTCCTCCTCCGTGATGATCGTCGAAACCACCCCCGCTTGAACTAAATCCACCGCCTCCTCCAAATCCTCCTCCACCTCCATAACCACCTCCCCCACCACCTCCGTGGTGATCGTCGAAACCACCCCCGCTTGAACTAAATCCACCGCCTCCTCCGAATCCTCCTCCTCCACCATAACCGCCGCCGCCACCTCCGTGGTGATCATCGAAACCACCACCTCCTCCGAAGCCTCCACCATATCCGCCACCACCACCTCCTCCATGACCGCCTCCACCTCCTCCGTGGTGATCTTCTATTATAGTAATAGCTCCACCGCCGTGTCCTCCACCTCCTCCATACCCGCCGCCGCCTCCAAAACCACCCCCTCCTCCAAAACCACCCCCATGACCACCGCCTCCTCCATAACCACCCCCATGACCGCCGCCGCCACCGAACCCGCCTCCAAAACCACCTCCTCCTCCATGTCCACCATCTAAGTGAATTATTTCTTTATGATGACCACCAGCATCTCCGTGTGAATCGGGAATGTGGACTCGAATATGGACACTGTTAAAAAAAAAAGAAATTCGCAATTTATTTTTGTTTTAGAGAGATTTTTTGTTAAAATAAAATGCACTCATCATGTTTTAACGCGGAAGTTTATGGATAAGAAAGTTTTATACTTTCAATTGTGTGAACATTAAGACTGTGAGAAGAAGTAAAGGTTACTTCCGTTAACCCGAGAGTTACTTTCTCTGTATTTATGACCACTATTACTTTTATTGGATTCACCATTTCATTTTTTTATTACATGTAGTGTGTTTACGAAGGTTGCAAATGATTTTTTATGATCATTCACATGTTATTTTATTATTCTAAAAAGAAAGTGTTAGCAATTTTTTTCATTTGCAACTTTCGTATATTTCACGATTAGATTAAAAAAAATGTTTTATTATTATAATAAAGTAATTAATTAACACTTACTGTTCTTTTCCAAAAGTAGCGTAACTCTGAACAATGCTACAGGCTACTACCACCAAAGTCTGCAATAAAAAAATAAAAAATTATTTTCGCCCTTCATTATCTTCATTAAATCCTTACAAAACTTAACCGAGCCATCAGTGCACCGCAAGCACTTCTTCACCCTCCTTTTATTCTTCGCCTCGCTTGGACGAATTCTGCAGATTTCCTCAACTTCAACAACATTTTATAGTTACGATTCCCATCCGGGGTGTCCATCCCATATCTCACCACGGAGGGAGAATGGGATGTAGTAGGGGATTTTCTGGCCGTGACCTAGTGGGGATCTTCACCAACGTTGGCGAGGTCATCGAACAGCAAGAAGCGTACTTGAACCTGCCGCTTTTCCTTTGAACCGCGAGAAGATGTCGTAGAACATACAATTGAAAGTCCTTTCACTTCGCTGCGAACCGAACGCGGATGGCTCGTTTCGCCCTTTGACACTGATGATGAGAATCACTTTCTCGAGATCGCCAACACGCGGGATATTACTCTTTAGTGTTATTGTATCTTCAACTTCCTAATCATTAATTACATCAATACTAAAACGTCATTTTGTTACCGTCTATGATGCATATAATTTAGTTGAGGAAGTTATTTACTAAATTTATGATGTGTTTTGTTTGTCGTAACATGTGTGAATGATTGTTAAGGAGTTAATTAAGAAGTTTTTTTTTTAAATAAAAAGAGAAAGATGTAAAATTTGTTTTGGTGATTTTATTATTTATGTTTTTTTAACTTGTTAATGTTATGTTTTAAACATTGCGTTTCACCTTCTTTATTGCCGGGTGGTGCAAGAGTTACAACAAAGTAATAAATGAAAACGTTAGTTTTATAACCCCGGAAGTGAAATAAAACACCGAATATATTAAGCTTCAATTTACGTTTTAAAGAAGTAACTAAATTGAAAATATTTTCTCTTTTAATTGTCGTAAACGGTTGATTCAAACGAGTGTCACATCGACTTTTATCATTGCTCGAGGAGACTTTGATCAGGGAATACGAAGTGTTGTCGACTTTCTAAGAGTTGAAATTTTCTCCTTATCGCTGGTAAACTTGACATGTGCTAGGTGCATATAAATACAAACTTTTAACAATTTAAATTTATCGTTATCGGTTCATATCGAAGCAGTTGGTTTCGATGTTTTTTTATGAGGTTACGAATAACTTTCCAAAGTACTTTTTTTTTTATTAATAGTTCTAAAATATTAATTTGTTTTTAACATATTGTAAACGTCGAACCTCTTGAAATGATGTGAAATCATTAAGAATAAGGTTAATCAATTCACCTTTCACAATTTATTTCACTCATCTTAATTACTGTAAAAAAGTAGCTCGATAATAATAACATCGCACAAGTTCTCAAATTTTCTCCTTCAACATAATAATCGCGATATTTTTCACACACCAGAAGGAGAGAGATCGTTTGAACCTCTACCATTAACCACCAAAGAAGAAAGTATCCAGATGCGGTAGTTGATGCGATTTGGATTTCTTCAGTTGCCGCATTTCTTCAGTATTTCTTTGGAGACGCCGTCTCATCCTTTAATACACGACAAAGAAGACGAATTATGTCAGTCGCACGTAATTTCACTTTTCGCCGTATTTAGAAAGTGATCATCCGTAATCCGTTATTCTTGCGAGGATGCCGCACCGGTCTTCAAGACCAACACTACACGATTTCCCGTTCGAGAACAGCACTTTAAAACCACTTTCGCTCTCTTAAGGTCTTTCCGATGTTAAAACATTTAAAGGTTCATTTAGTTTTATACATTAATGGAACATGATAAGAAATGGGAAATTGTTGTAAATAGAAAAGTGTTGTAAAGGTGTCTTGTAATTACAGTTAAAGCGTCAAAGCTTTAAATTTATCTTCCAAATACTGTTTTCGATGACAATTAAAAAAATTCGAGAATATGATAGTAACAGTAAAATTGTTATAGGAAAAGGAATGTATATCCGATGTAAGTAGATAGATGTTGTTTTTGGTATTAAAAGTGGATATGATATATCATATTGTGTGTAAATGAGACTGCAAGAAAATCCTTCTGATCTAATTCAAATTTACCAATAATAACATATGGTTTAGATCGATCTTTCTTCGATCTTTATATCAATTGACTAAAATTATAAAAATCAAGCATTAGGCTTAATTGTTATTCTAAAAGATACTTCTGTTGATGATATGCTATTGGGTTGGGTATAAATTAAGTGTGGAACGCTTCATCAGAATTCCCACATCATCAAAGACCACGTGGCATCAGAGCTAATATTGCAATGATTGTCCTTCACCCAGAATGTTGAACAACTTAGCAGTGCAATCGCAATCCAAGAGTTGTATGATGTCCAATAGTAATATAAGTGCTGAAAATCTCATTGATCTAGTTTCAGGAGGCGTATCAATGTCCATAATGCAGGTAAATAAATCATGAATTAGCTCAAAGAAAGGTCGTCCACAATAAACTTCCACCAATACAAGATCCAATCAGTTAACTAATTTGTAAAAATTAGCAACATTTTTCGTTGAAAATATTAATATTAAGGGCAATAAGAGTCCACTCATGTATGTAATGGTAATCTCTACTACTCGAGCAAGTGTCAAAACGCTCGAAAATATCAAGAAAATACAAACTACGGTTGAAGCAGCCCTACGACTGCTATTGTAATAAAATTGTCTTATACTGGAGGTATATTCTAGCAGCCTATAAAATAACACCTCCTCTCGATATTGTCTGAATTTTTGCAGTCAAAAATTGTTCCAATACCTATACAGAGTGTTTGATTTTAGTTGTCACAACAGATTTCTCGACTACTGCTGGAGATATGACAAAATGTTATAGAAGGAATGTTGCTAATCACTTAATATTTCTATTATCTGACATATTAAAAAAAGCAAGTGATCATCAAATGTGTTAGATACAGCGAATACATTTATAATTTTAAATGAAACGTGACCAATTTTATTACGTATTATAAAACATAGTAGATATTTGCAGATTGACCTCTGCGTGGCCTTTACCTTGAGAGGTTTCAGAAGGTAACCTTGATTTATTTTCAAGGTCTGTAACTTTATTTCAATCCTCACTCCTTCTCTATAAAATATTATTATGGTTAAGTTCGGTTTGTCAGTTTGTATTCTGAGCTCATCATTTCAGTATGACATTTCGGCATTTCAGTTCTAAGTAACCTGGGTCATTGTTGATTTTTGTGAAAATTACAAAGATAAATCACAAGCTGTGGTTGACTTGCAAGGATACGATATCCGTCATTTTCTGGTGTTGTTGTTACACATAAATTCCAGCTTTGTGCTACATGAAAACATACATGATAGTGCGCCCAAAGATGGATTGCCAATAACACAACGACATATACACAAAATCTAGTTATAACGACATCACATTATTTGTAATATACTCAAAATCTGGAGCGTTACTATTAACTAGTGATGTAACGGATAATCGCATCCGCAACTACGGATAATCCGCATTGTTTTGAGGATCCGCATATTAAATTAAAAAATTAATAATTTACTAATTACTATTAATTACAATAGAAATATTATTTTCATGAAAATGTTAGTACGTAACTTTTTTCAATAACTCCGCATCTCTTAAAGCTGCATTCAAAAAATCCGCATCCGCAAAATTATAATTAAAAAATCCGATTCCGCACCCGCTAAACTCACATCCGTAACATCACTACTATTAACATCATGGAAAACTACGCATTCATTTAATTTCCATATTTTTGTACTCTTCTCGATATTTACGCATCTCTTTCACTTTCACAAATATCGAGATAAATACGAAAATATGAAAGTTTGCTGAATTCATAGTTTTACAAGTTGTTAATGGTATCACTCGAGATTTACCCTCCTTGAAATTTATGGAAGATATCTCGGCCGACGCCTTCGAAATCGGCTGAAATTATTTCTTATATCACGAACAATACTTGGGGTCTCCTCCACAAAAAAAAAACATACACAATAAAATAAGTATCACACAATTTCGTGAAGATGTAATAATTACTGACAACGTCTGTTATTGTAGTTCCACCAGAAGCCGGATAAAGAGCTTTTTGTCTCAAAGAGACATATTACAAGTTAAAAATGTTTGGATAAATTATGAAAGGTTCACTACATTTAAAAAAAAATTATCTCAAATTGGCAATATTAATACATTTTTAATAAAATTCCTTTTTTTTATACATCCGCAGTACATTTTGGCAGTGTTAAGTGTCCTGACTGTTTTATTTTTAAGGAGATTCTAAATTCTAAACGATTTATTTACAAAAAAGAAATAAGAAAATATCTATTAATAATTAAAAGGAATTTGTAAAAATATATCATCAAACAAAATACTATTACAATAATTATACAAATACATAATATCACCTTAAAAATTAAGCTAATTAACTACATTAAAAATTAAAGCAAACAACCCCATTATTTTTGTAACATTAATATTATACAAATACCACAACTAAATAATATTTTAATCTAAAAAAAATCATCACATTCCGAAGCTTAAAAATTTATAATATTAATTGAGCACGTAATTATATTCATAACGGTTCATTAAATTGATTAGATAATTTACAATTGAATTCGCTAATGCCGCAATCGGAAAATTTCGTTTTTTGCGTTAACGGTTCGGAAAATAACGAAGCGTAATCGAAATCTGAACATATCGAGTTATTCGGCGACGAGGTAGTAAACGGTACTTGCGAAGCAAACCCTGAGCTTTGACTCGACGATCTACTCAAACCGTAATTGAATAAATTAGGATTCCAATGCGAACCGTTCAAATTATCAAATTTCAGTCTTGGTGGCGATATCAACGGCCGATTAACAAGATGATTTACTTTTATCGGTTTAAAAATATTAGCGGCAGGTCGAATATTCTCCGATCCAATACACAAATTGTTCATACTTCGATTCAAATAATTATCAATTCCACATATTTGTTGCGAACTTTTCGATTTTTGTATAGCAACTGGTTTCGGTTTGAACACAATCGGTGGCGTTAAAACATTTCGAAAAACAGGTGCGTTGTTGGTGGCAGTTTTGGGCGGAAGGCACGCATTTAACGTCGTAAATTTTGAAACGCTCGATTCAAACGAACAATCCGAATCGATGGAATCTTCTTTTTGGTGTGACGATTTTGATTGTAACGATGTAGCGTTTAGTGCTATTTCATTTGCTTGAGCTTGTAACAGTAATGATTGTAACGCCGACTGATTATTCCATATTGTATTAAGTTTTGGTTCGATTTTACAGTCTATTGATGATTTTTCAGTAAGTAACGTGTAAATTGTTAATAAAATTGCTAGTACCTAAATAAAGAAATAAAAATGTCAGTATAATTTTATAAAATAATTGTTAATTATTAAGATATGAATAGAATGTGTGTGTAGATACATTTTAATTTCTGTACAGGTGCCCCAAATTCGATGTCATCATAACCTATCTGAATCTAAAAGAATAAATATAAATTAATTTGCTATTTTTTACTAATATTAGCAATATAATCTTCTTAAGAAACAAGTTCTAAGTGTTCAAAATATACAATAACTTGAATATTCAACAAGATGCCTCGAAATTGGTACGACGACGACAACGTCGAGGAAAACAGGACTTGAATATTGGAACCCCGAATGTGTTAAGCTGGTACAGACCGGCAGCAGCAACAAAACTAATAGAATAACTTGAAAGGATTGACATGGATAGCATGATAGCCGACAATAAACATAAATTTGGAACGAGTATTGTCATATGGAAAGACATTCTAGATTCTGCCATAGATTTTAAACCAGTGAATGAACGATTTTGTTACTTAAGGCTTATAGAAAAACTCTACAACATCTTGATGCTAAGCGAAAAAAAGGATGATGAAATTGAAGTCTGAAATTGTCTCCTATGACGAACTAGAAACTTGTTAAACAAAATGCAACACTTTTTATTATGAAGAGATAGGAGACTTTAATGCAAAGATGGGAAGAGAAGAGATTTTGAAGCCCAACAGCGTAACGACTTAAACTGGTGGATTTTGCAATATCAAATAACCTCATTAAATCAACGATGTTTGAGTATAAAGAAAGACTTGGGTCTCTAATGTCGGAATAACGAGAATCCAGATTAATCATGTTTTGATTAATGCAAGACCCTGGTGCCTGGATGTAAACAGTGACCACGTGCTGGTTAGAGCCAAATAGAGCGAGAGAATCTCAAAGCAAAAAGGTCAGAACAGCTGCCGAGGTGAAATATTGAAGCTTTCAAACATAAAAAAGGGAATAACTGAATATCAAACAATTTTGGAGACTACATTGAGATCAGTAGCAAATCTAAACAGTGCTGAAAGGATTGACGACGAATTCGAGAGAGTTTTAAAGTTAAGGGGCAACGGTACGAATGCTACAAAATCTAATCGAAGAAAATACACAGAGGAATACAGAGTCCAGCAAAAATATAAGAAAAACAATAAGAGTCAAAAAGGGCCACACTAGGACCATACTCTCGCAGAACTACAGCCAATTAGAATGAACAACAGAACTAGATTGCAATAAAGAATGATGAGGGCAACCGTATCACAGGTGAAGCTGACGTGATAGAGACCTGGCGAAAATTTGAAATGAAGTCAAGCGTTAATATAAATGTAAGATATTTATCATGTGGAAGAAGTGTTATGAGCTATACGTAAAAATAACAAAACTCCAGCGAACAACATTATATCAGCAAAAAGTCTAAAAAATAGAGGTGAAACTTTGGTGCTTGCTTTCTATCAGCTATTTGTTAGATATAGAAAGAAAAGCGAATCTGCCCTATCTGACCTATCCATTGGAAAGAAGATGTTATAGTACCTATACATAAAAAGGGCGATAAAATGTGCTGCACACACCATGTGGATAAATCTCTTATTAGCACAAGATATATAATCTTTTACCTAATGTTATTGGAACAATTGACACCTTATGTGGAACATTAAATGGGAGATGCACTATTAGGCAGATAACGGAGATATGCTGGGAATACAAGAAAACATTATACCAGCTATTTATGGATTTTAAACAGGAATACGATAGCAACATTAAAATGAAGGTGTGGGATGTCATGACAAAACTAGGCATATCGAAAAAATTAATTAATCTCATAAAAACCTGCATAGAGGGATGTGAAAATGTTACCAGTTGATGGAAATAAGAATCTACAACCAGATTAAAGAAACTATACCATAAATGTCAACCCAGAAACGAACCAAATTTGAATTTTCTGCAAGTACGGGATGGATTAATGGATTTTAAGACACGCACTGCATTGTATAAAGATTAAGGGTGAAATTGGATCTGCTGATGATCTGGCAGCTAAAGAATTTCCTTGCAAAAATAGCTAAAATAATTGAAAAAGGCATGGAATGCGGAGGAAACAGGTCTTTTCTGGAAACGTATGCCAAGTAGAACATACGTACCTAAATCCTATAAAACGGCCAATTTGTTTAAAGCAGCCAAAGACCGCGTTTTTTTTTTATTTTGCTCTAATACGTCAGGAGATCGGATGTTAAAACCTTTACTTGTAAATCGAGCCACCAAAAACCAGGGTCAATGAAAGGTGTAAATTTAGATACCTTATCAGTTCACTGGACAGCTAATAAAAAAAGCTTGGGTGACCACTGAATCTTTTAATGAATGGTTTCTCAAATATTTTGTTCCAGATGTTCATCACTGTATAAACGATAACGGCCTTGAATTTAAGGTTCTGTTGATTTTTGAACCCAAATGTTGAATTTTATTTCCTTCCGCCAAATACACCTTGATGCACAACCACTGGACTAAGGAATTATTGCAACCTTTAGGACCTGTTATGTAAAGCAAACATTTCAATACATTTTAGATCAATGAATTAATGATAAAAATGTAACAGTTATAGATGCATTGAAGAAATTTTCTATAAATGACAACATCAAACATGTTCGATTAACACTATCTGAATTGAAACTGTTAACTTTGAACGCATGTTAGAGTCCTTTGGTCAGAATGTGTAAAAAATAAAGATAATAATAAGATAAAATAAAGAACGCACATGTTCTGACACGGTTGAATATTCTACCATAATAGTATTCAATGATATAATGTGATACCGATGACTTTCTAGTGAATAAAGCAAATTAAGAAAGATGAATATTTAAACCTATTTTAATCACATTGTTTTAGCCGATTCTTCAGATATTTCTTCAGAAACTTTCTAGTTTTAGTTCAATAAAAATATACAACATACCACTGCCACTAGACCGTGAAATAGCAACATTCGAATTTAGCCGCACGTCTCTCAAGACGGCTATACCAGAATGATTCTAGTTCATGTGTTAGTTCTAGTGTACAACTACAACTAACACTAGACCGAAACCTAGTAACATTCGGGTTTAGCCACACGTCTCTTAAAAAGGGTAAACCCGAATGATGCTAGGTCATGTGTTAGTTCTAGTGGTAGTGTACAACTACAACTAACACTAGACTGAGATCTAGAGACATTCGGGTTTAGCCGCACGTCTCTCAAGACGGCTAAACCCGAATGATTCTAGTTCTAGGTCTTGTGTTAGTTCTAGTGATAGTGTAAAACTAGAAATAACAGTAGACCGAGAACTAGAAACATTCGGGCTTTGCCGCACGTCTCTCAAGACGGCTAAACCCGAATGATTTTAGTTCTAGGTCACGTGTTAGTTCTAGTGATAGTGTACACACAACTACAACTAACACTAGACCGAGAATTAGAAATATTCGGGTTTGGCCGCACGTCTCTCAAGATGGCTAAAACCGAATGATTCTAGTTCTAGGTCATATGTTAATTCTAATGATAGTGTACAACTACAACTAACACTAGATCGAGAACTAGAAACATTCGGGTTTAGCCGCACGTCTCTCAAGACGGCTAAACCCGAACGATTCTAGTTCATTTGTTAGTTCCAGTGATAGTGCTGGTGTAAAACTACGTCTTCAGACGAACGGCTAAACCCGATACTTTCTAATTCTAGGTCTAGTGTTAGTTCTACTTTTAGTTCAATAAAAATATGCAACATAGTGATATTTTATGCTAACTAGCGTTACCTATCAACCGTCTTAAGAGAGCTAAACGGAATGTTTCTAGTTCTAGGTTTAGTGTTAGTTCTAGTGCTAGTATTAGTTTAGTTTTATTTGTTATTCAGCGCAAGATTCAAATTATGACAAGTTGCATTTTATGTGGGTCAAAGTAAGTAGATACGCCCTGGTTTTTATTATGTTTAAACAAATAAGTAATTAAATTCGTAACTAGTTTACTTAAAATCCCCACTAGTTTTAAAATTCCCGCCAAAAAATAGCTTTGAAAAATTACACTGTGTAAACGTGACTTTTCATTTTACTCCTTCGAATTAAAAAATAGAGTATAGTAAGCGAGATATTCGCGTTTCAGCAGAATTTCTTTTTGGCGCGAAAACAAAAAACGATAACACCCACTATCGTTTTTATAGCGACTTGTAAGCTTTTCCAATCCCTTGTAGATTTTGAGATAGCCTATGATGACATTAAATTTGGAACACCTGTACATTACTAAATATCTTACCTGAGCAGTTAACAAAAACAAAGCATTATCATAATTATTCCAAGAAAGCACAACTAAAAACGACCAAAACAATAAAGGTCCATATTTAAGTTTCTTTCTTTTAGTAAACAACGATGTAATCACTTGGACAATAAATCCACAAAGGCATAGAGTAAAATGGTTAATATTAGACTGTTTTAAAAGAAAATTTCCCAATTCTTCAGAGTTAATTCCACTAAAATTAGATGTCTCTGTAGTATTTTTTAAATATTCATGTATAAAATCGATAAAATCATGTAGTTTGCAGTCGGATTCAGTCTTTAAATATTGTAAATAAGATGGAATTGCGTAAAAACCGTCGATGATTTGAACAAAATAAACTTTAAATGAAGTGTAGAATGGGAGGAATAAATCTAAGGCGGATTTTTCAAATATACCTGTGGAATATAGGGCGTTGAAGAGGATTAAGGATGCCAAGGAAATAACCACGACGATTACAAACGATGGACATATTGATTCACATAATCCAGCAATTTTTTGTTGGATAGATTTTGACGATTTTTCCAAATTTCGCAAGGTTTGCAACCCTTGTTGCTTTAATTGGTGAATTTTCATACCCAATATCCACTTTTGTTGGGTTATTAAAGTTTGTTTTACTTTAAAATCACATTCTGGGCATAATTTGTAGGCTTTTTCAAGTTGTTTACTATAAAAAAAAACATAAATTTGTTAATAACATCTTAATTATAATACACTTAACTTAATTTACCCAAAATGGTCTACTTCAGCATCATAATTTTCTTCGTTTAGAGGAATAAAACTTGCTAATTGGTAAACTTTTAACCGTTGATTATTGTTACACAAACGACATAAACCATTCAATGATGATTTTCGATTTATTTTAAACATTTGGGGAGTGCAAACGTTTAATAATTCATCGTGTTGTTCTGGGATATCTTTATTATACCCACCTGACTTAAAATAAACTCGTTATACTTTATAAAAATTAAAGTCTAGAACAAACTTACTTCGTCAAAACCGTTGTATTGAGAACAATTCGGGCAATTAAATGCATTTCTATTCTCGTATGGAACTTTAGTAGATTCATTACAAAACCAGCAGTTCACTTTAACGCTAAATTGTTGCCTGGAATAACATTTAAAGGATTATTTTTAGATAATTTTAAGATAAGAGGATTTCTTACCTGCATTTTATGATTAGGTTAACTAATATTATAAATATAACCAAAGTAGCGGCGACTATTGGCAAAATTATAGCCAATTTTTGCAATAAATCACCCGAAATAGTGAACATTACGGTTTGACACTATAAACTACAAATATTTACACTTTTTTTTACGATTTAAATCATGTGGAGTGGTTAACATAACCTAATTGTTGATTTAGTACCGGTAAAAAGTCAACATATATTTAGTTCCTTTATTTACCGGTAGAGGATAAAACTTATTAATTGTTTAAATTAAATGAATTTTAAAAACTAATAATATTTTATTTGCAACATTTTACTAACTAATCACTTCAAATTATTATAATTTGTAAATTGTTTAAATAAAAACGATTATTTAAATTTTAATTAGAATAGTGCTAATAATGACTAAGAGATGTCACTAGCATTTTTAAATTTAAAAATTTTAAAACTTTAAAATAATAAAAATCGGATTTAACTTTCTAAGCTTAACTTATAATCATTAATAAAAACCTTTTAACACAATAATTACACCGGTAATTAAAAAAGATAAAATTATAGCGGTGAAAGTAAAACTTGCAAAGAAAAGCAAGAAAACCAATTGAGATTGCCTCAATACAAATTGCTGGTTTCACGTTTCAATCATAAAGCCGAAACAAAACAAGTAAAAAAATTTAAGATTCCTGTCTATACGTATACTTTCTATGAAGAAAGTGATTGATAAACAATTAGGCAATTAATCGATTGCTTTATTTTACGAAATTAAAACGTAACAGACTAGAAAAACTTAAAAGTACCATTACATTCACCTTTCATAATAATGCATTTTCGTTCTGAAATCGTATTTTATGTCATCTTTTATATTCTCAACAACTGGTTTAATTCCTGGGTCGTGGAGCTCCTCGTTGTATTTATTATCTTGATTAACTTGGGTTTGTTTCAAAACGTTTTGGGTTAAATGATACAAAGATCCTTTGTGGACGTAAGGCGGAAAGAAGGGAATTCTCGCTGGTGTGTTATATAATTTTCGATAGTTGTACCCGAAAATCGGTTTTGGTTTATAAAAATACTGCTTATATTTTAAATCTTTTCCAGGGTATGGTTTTCTTGGTAGTGGTAAAGTTGCTTCAAATAAAAAATGGTATTTATCAGCTGCTACTGGTTCTGGAAACGTTATTTTCTGTGGTCCAAATCGATGGTTTAACAAATTTGGAGTTGGAATTATACCGAAATTTGGTTCACTAAAACATTGAAATAAAATTAAAAAATTAATATAAATTTGTTATTTTTAGTAAATTAGTTCTAAATTTATAAATTTTCTAAGAAACTACTTAAACCATAACATTCAATAAGATAGAAGTTAAGTTTTATACAACAGTATAGTTTATAATTGCTTCGAATGCTTGTCGAAGCTTTCGGTGTTTTGAATGGTTTAAAACGACAACGTGGAAGACCATGGAAAAAGTGCAAAAATATTGCAAGCATTGTTGGATGAGGATGACGCTCAAACGCAACAACTCAGGGATTGAAAGCCATGGGAAACATAAAGAAGATGGAAAAATGAGTTCTACATGAATTGACGAAAGATAACATGACAACCGAAAAACCACTTGCAGCGCTTCACTTCTTACGAAAATGGTTCGATGATATCAGATAGGTGACTGACAAAAGTAGCAAAATGACCACCAATTTTTATGCCAAGTATTTGGTAAGAGTTATAAATAACCGCATCTTCCTCAATTTGACAAAATAGAAGCAATTCAGTATGTTGCTGACTTCATGGAGTTTTCCCAATTTTCTATGACTAAGCTTGAAGCTAAAAAACTGCTGCGCTCTTATACATCAAATGATATTGATTTTGATCAGCATCCTTGTCAGTTTTTATTGTTTTTATCTAAACGACAGTTTTATCCCATTTCATCAAAGTAATTGCAGTGGTGGAGAAATTGGAGAATAGATTTGATAATTACTAGTGATGACTTTTTTCATTGAATACAACTTTGCTTATATCAGGTTTGTCATTAGCAACCTCATTGTAACAATCCCAATACGATATATAAAATCTCTTGTTGCAGCTTCGTCTAGTTTTCTTCTCTTCGTTTATAATTCATCATCACATTCATTACTAACAGAACTGTCGTTGTTATCACTTTCGATTATTAATTAAAGTATCCTCTTTTTAATGCATTTGCAAAAATCACTTTTAGTTCTTGAGAAAAAAATTTTTGAAATGATCGACAATTTTTTCGAATTTTGCAATTTTCGCCGATTAAGATTTAAAAATTCGTATTAAATCCATTTCTTGGAATATAAGTATGAAAATATCCCAAAGTGTTAATAAGAGTGTCCTCTTTCCACTGAACCAACACGTTTTGATAAATAACTTTTAGTTTTTGAGAAAACAAGATTTGAAATTTTGATAAAATTTTCGATCTTACAATTTTCATCGAAAATTTTCATAATTCGCTATAAAATTAATTTCTTGAAGGACCCTTGTGGAAATATCACCAATTATTAATTAAAGTATCCCCTTTTTAATGCAACAAGCCGTTTTGAAAAATCACTTTTAGTTCTTGAGAAATAAATTTTTGAAATAATCGATTTTGCAATTTTCGCCGATTAAGTTTAAAAATTCGTATAAAATCCACTTCTTGGAATATGAGTATGAAAATTTCCCAAAGTGTTAATAAAAGTGTCCTCTTTCCAATGAACCAATCCATTTTGAAAAATAACTTTTAGTTTTTGAAAAAACAATATTTAAAATTTTCGATGTTGCGATAATTTTCAAAATTCGCTATAAAATTAATTTCTTGTAGGATTCTTGTAGAAATATCACCAATTATTAATTAAAGTATCCCCTTTTTAATGCAACAAGCCGTTTTGCAAAATCACTTTTAGTTCTTGAGAAGTAAATTTTTGAAATAATCGACAATTTTTTTGAATTTTGCAATTTCCGCCGATTAAGTTTTAAAAATTCGTATAAAATCCATTTCTTGGAATATGAGTATGAAAATGTCCCAAAGTGTTAATAAGAGTGTCCTCTTTCCAATGAACCAACTCATTTTGAAAAATAAATTTATTTTTTGAGAAAACAATATTTGAAGATTTGATAAAATTTTCGATGTTACAATTTTCATCGAAAATGTTCATAATTCGCTATAAAATTAATTTCTTGAAAGATCCTTGTGAAAATATCACCAATTATTAATTAAAGTATCCTTTTTTTAACGCAACAAGCCGTTATGAAAAATCGCTCTTAGTTTTTGAGAAATAAAGTTTTGATATAATCGACAATTTTTTCGAATTTTGCAATTTCCGCCGATTAAGTTTTAAAAATTCGTATTAAATCTATTTCTTGGAATGTGAGTATGGAATTTTCCCAAAGTGTTAATAAAGAGTGTCATTTTTCCAATGAACCAACCCATTTTGAAAAGTAACTTTTGGTTTTTGAGAAAACAATATTTGAAGTTTTTATAAAATTTTCGATGTTGCAATTTTTATTGATAACTTTCAAAATTCGTTATAAAATTCATTTCTTGAAGGATCCTCTTTTAAGGAAAGTATACTCTTTTTAGAGTTGCTTCATGAGTTAAATCAGCATCAAAAAAGTTCCTTTTGTATCATGGATCCAAATAAGTTGACATATCTTATCAGCTTTCTTATTAATTTCATTTTTATTCAAATATCGCAATAATGTGGCAATGTACGGTATCACTTCAGAAATGCACCAGAAGTTATTACAATAATGGCTATTAGGTATACCGGATAAGCAGATATCCAGCCGAAGGGAATGCCGAATATCCGGTATCCGGCTGTTCGCAAAATCACTATTCGTTCCATCACCAGTAATTACCATAAGTAATGCTCTTTACCTTCCCAGTTTCAATTTCTACCCAAAAAGTACTATATCATAATTTTTGGATGAATTGGAAGATATATTCTTCTATGATTCATAAAGTCTCAAAGATTTTTGTCTGAAAACAAATAATCAACGCGCAATATCATCAAATGCTTTCTTTCATCTCAAAAAGTGTCTGCGCATGATTCTTTCTTTTTGCACTTTTAATGCATTAATCGGGTGTTGCAAGTAGTTGAGGTATTAATTATCTTAATAATTGAGGCTTTAATTATATGATCTTTTGACGTCCAAAATGTAGGTAGTTGTTGATTTTAAGGATTTGGCAAAAACATTATTGGCAGTATGCACAGAGTGTGAATGTACTGTTGAGGTGACGTATTAGAACCACATTTTGTACGATTATCAACAAATAATTTGGTGTGCTTACTGAAAAACAATGAATTTAAGATTTTTAGAGCAATATTTGAATTTATTAGGGATTGTAATGTTGTCATGTAAAGATCCTTTGGGATGTACTCTCGAAATTAATAAACTATAATGCCAAAAAGCCAATAAAAACTTGAAGTGGAGAATGGGACATCGAAGATGTAATTCCGGGGAAAAAGTAGGCCAACCCAGTTAATGTCAAGTCTAAAGAAGCATCTAACATTTATTACTATAAAAATTACCTTTTACCGAAAGGCAGATAGAAACCTCTTAATCTCATAATTAATTAAAAAGATAAACATATTAATAAACAATATTATATATGAATGAATAATTTACGACGTTCTTATTACTTTATCCAATGTTAATTGAAAACTTATGTCCTTCGTAGTAAATTAAAGTGAAAGCGAATCGTCAGTTTTTAACGTACCATCAAATCGTCTTGTTCTAGATGGTATTTTACGTAATGAAAACCTTTCTCGATTCCTTTACATTACATCGGATATGATGCAATTTAGGCTGTTATAAAAAATACTTAAATAACTATTTTATGTCATAGAATGCATCTATAAATTGGAAATACCCATCATGTTTCAGCTTTTTTAACAACACATTTCTTCACGGAGAACTTGGCCGGCTCTAAATAAGGATTACAGGTTTACAAGACTCGACTTTACAATCGATTGAGTGAAAACAAAAATAACTTTCTGATTTGATCTTGAAGATTTATTAACTTCTAAACTGTAACTAATTTTTTTTATTCGAATAAAAGATATGATCTACTTTTATTATATATTCACACTTTGTCCTAAAGCTACTTTCTCATTTGTCATTTAAGACAAAGATAAAATGTTAAGTAAGTGTAAAGTGATGCATCAGTTTTGAAAGCATCGTTATTAAACGATTTTTCAAATCCGTTATAGTAGATTACTTTCTACATAAATATTCTTGCATCAAATAGATTATTGCACTTTTAATCGCTTCTCGTTTTCTACTCATAATAAATATAGATATCGGAGATAATTCACGCTTATTGAACACGAATATGTATGTTTCTTTTTTTGTTTATGTTACTAACGTTTCCGCTTTGTATGTTAAATTGTGAAACCCGGAATAATATTTTGCATAGTTGCATATTTAAGATTGAAAAAACTGTAACAAAAAAAAATATAAACAAAGAAAATTTTAAAATCTAGTGAAAGTAAAACAAGTTGTTGTAATACAACGTTTTGGGAAATCCACGCTGATTGATTCAACAGTGTTTCATAATGGACATAAAAAATAAATTGTAAACATCCGGCGATTAAAAAATGTATCAAACAAAGGTTATAAATGATTAAAAAATTGATAATTAGTTTAAAAATGATTTAATTAAAAATTATTGGAAAATAATGAATTGTAAAAAAATGGTTCAAGGTTTAAATGTCTTATTTTAAGGTAATTTTCTCACCTACTAATGTCTATATCAAGTTAATTTATTGTTTTACGTAAATCGTAAATTGACGAGTTTTTAAATGAATGCATTTCTATTATTTTTAAGTTTAAATTCGATGTGGGTTGAATGTGGGTTAATTAGAGAAATGTTAAGGACAGCAAAAAAAATATAAACTATTTGCATTGTTTTAATAATAATTACTACTGTTGTTATTAAAGGTTTGCTTTAAGTAATGTAATTTTTAATTTTAAATTAATGTTAGTACGTCACAAAGAAAATCTGCTTTTCAATCAGTTCTGAGTACAAAATAGAGATCCTCATTCCCCAAGCTGGATTGTAATAAAGAGAAAAACTGAATGTATTCCGCGGTTTTGAGTAAAGTTAATAAATATAGTTAGTACTAGTTAGGTTCCCAAGAAGGCAAAGAGATGAGGAACTAAAAAAGTGTACGAAGTGTTGTCTCAATATTAAAACATTTTCTGGATGTAATCTCAGCTTTCTTTTGCTAATACATGATATGTTTAACCAATTTACAAACCTATGACTTAAAATCACTGCGCAATTACACATTCATTTATCATGTTTTTTATAATGTTATTGTAGAAATTAAGTGAAGATTGGCAACTTGCTGTTTGCGTAGACAATATTAACGTAAAGTGAACAACAATTCAGTTAGCAAAGCAGACGTACCTTAAAAACAAAGAAACATGCGATAAGGGCCGAATTGAAAATTAAGACACAAAAAAGAAAGATATTAATACACATAAGAAGAAGCTGAACCACACGCATTCCGGTAAAATATCATCGAGCCAGTAGTCGACCATCCGCAACTATAAGTTAATAAATTGAAAGAGTAGTAAAATTTCCTCTTTTAAAATTTGTGTCAATAATTAGTTACCAGTGTTTCTCATCCAAATTACAAGTAAATGAGTAAATAATGATGGTATATTTGTCATTTGACAAAAGTGCATACCGAGTTGAAGGTTTGAGCTAAGTAAACCTGGATTTTTAAGAATACGAAAAAAGCAATACCTGAAGCAATACGAAAATGGTCCAAAGAATTGAACCACTTCTACTTACGTTCGTCTACTTTGTCAGAAAGTATTAGAAATTGCCTTAAACGATGTGGTCTTTTTCCACTAGACCCGAGAGTTTGGCTGTAGATTTTACAAAATGCGTTCAGAATTGATTAGAAAACCCAACATTGAATAGGTTCAATTACCATGGAAGATTTAAATACGACAAAGAAAGATCTTTCTCATTTTAAAGAGAGAGATTGAAACCAAAAAATATCGATGCAGATAAAACTAGTACTGTCTTAGATTATTTGTGACAATCACAAATTCCTAGGACCTCAAATCTAGTGACAGTAGAAACATATGCTATACAGGCTGATGAAGCATTAGCAATAATATTCATAGGACTTAGTTACGAAGAAGAAGAGTTTAGGAATTATAAGTGTTCGTTCTGCTCCTAATCTTGTCATAAGAATTCAGTTCATTTCTTCAGTAGTGGTTAAGATTCCATTACTTAGTACATTTTTTTAAGTTGATTTGTTATCTTTATAATTTTTGATTTAATAAATGAGCATATGTTCTTGTCAAGACTAAATAAAAAATTAAAACATGAACATTTAAATGATTTTTATAAATAAATTTACTGAAAAAATATTACGAGTTATAAAAAATAAGCTGACTGCAGACTGAAGAAATACCGGTCGACCACTGGACTTATGCTGGTCGACTCAAGGGAGGAAATGGTGAACTACTGGCACATTATCCTTTTGAACCTTTTTTAGGATAATTTTAGTTTTACTTTGTCCTGGCATGAATCGGTTGTAGATTTCCAAAAGGAAATGTTCTACCTATCTTAATTTAAAAAGATGAGTTTATTGTGCCTTTAGGTCTATTTTTTATTGGCTTTTGAATTTGAAATATGTCTTAAGTGGTCGACCACTGGCGTGTTTACCCTAGAACGGAAAACTAAGAAATTCTTAGAAGAATTACTTTTGGCAACAGAGCTTACTTTGCACTGTCTCATATTTGTAATTTTTGGCCGAGTCATGTTTTTCTTTTTTTGTTTCTTAGGTTAGTTAGAGCAGCTGTACTAACTAGTACAAGCTGGAACTCGCCTATTTTTTTTTGTATGTTTTTTTTTTGTACAATTAAGCTTATTTTCTAATAAAGGCATTTATTATTATTATTATTATTATATACCAAGATCAAAAAACGTCCATCGTAACAATACACTTAAAGTATTTAAGATAATTATAAAACATATTATATGTAGATACGGAGCATGGGGGACCAAATATATCGAATTTTATCAACTGCTCGGAGAAGCTTCCTTGTACAGTTCAGCAGACTTCAAAATCTGCAATAGGCATGAAATGTTGGTAGGGTGGATAAAACTAAGGGGAACTCTTAACGCTAGAATGCATAGGAAAAGACCGGTGGGGAGACCCCGAAAATGCTGAAAAAATGAAGTATCCGACAATATACGCGAACTACTAAGAGTGAGAATGTGGCGAAAAGCAGCAAGAGATGGGGAATAAAAGAGGCAGAAGATAGAGAAAGTCAGGGCGCAATTTAAGCTGTAGTGCCATAGAAAGGTCATTCACTTGTTTTATGCAGTGTTTAAAATAAATGAGGTTCTAAACTTTACCTCAAGTTTTCTTAGACATAAATCTGCATATTATTCAATTCGTTTGCCAAACACAATGAATTCATTTTCATATTATGACCTTGAAGATGTAGACGGTGTAGATGATAATGATAACAATTTAGAAGAAAATTTGATGGTCACAATGTAAAGGATCATTGGTTAAGTATAATTGAAAGAATATGTTGAATGATTGAATACTTGTAGTCTTTTGTAATTTATGTAGTAAATGTCGGTCGTCATAGCCTATTCAACTTATTCAATCTAATAATGGTGCTTTTTCGCTGGTACTTTACAAGATCAACCATACTAGCTGCACATTATTCAATATATTTTATGTTTTTATGCCATGCAAATCATAACTCAAAGCTTATAAGATACTCATTATTAAGTACTTTTGCAGACTTCATAAATCATGTCATTTACTTTGTCAATTTTTATACAGCATACTCTCTAACAATTTGTTTACTCGGAATTCTTAAAGCCAAAGAGATTGAGAGATGCAGCAAACTGGCAAATAGATATTCTGAAGAAATTTAAGATGATGTTTTGTCATAATTGATTATTTTATCACTTTCTCAATATAGTAATAATAAATCTATATTTTTTGCATGATAGAATCCATGCCAAAATGATAATAATAATAAATAATTTCAAACTGAAGTGGCAGAATCAAGCATCCACGGGGTTTCCCCCATGGTGATCTTTAAGCTTCTCCGGTGAGACCTCGGCATCCCTGCGTAACATTCCCCCAGATCTCAACGATGTCCGAAGATGTTTTAAAGCACTCATCGACACAATATAACCGAAAATCAATTTTGTTGCTGGTAGTGTCATCAAAAAGGAACGTGGACTACCACATTCAACCAGTTTTGTAGTCACCACAACGACCCGCTCGTAAAAATGAGACTGCCCTTTAGCTTTCGGATCGTAATTGTCTGCGAATACCTCATCAAGGCCTCCATTTTCATCCGTGTTGATGGTTCTTGTTTTTGAATTGAGAGAGTTATTGAAACGTTACCACCACTGTTATCTTCAGTGATGAAAAACAATTCCATCTTTTTTGTTGTGTTAATAAGCAGAACCTGAATTATTCGAGTGAAATCAATCCAAAATCCAACAGAATCGATTACATAGTGATCATGTGACAATAGGGTCACGAAAAGCAATTATTGGGACTAACTTCTTTGAAGAAAATCAGAGCTATATGTGAACACAATCAAAATTTGTTAGCATCATCGCCTGAAGAACTTTATTAAATGTCTGGTTTCAACAGAACGAAATGACGGCTCATTGAGCATTAGTATCAATATTAGTTTTGAGGAATAAGTTTCCCTGGGCGCTTGAGATTTGAAGCGTTGCGATTATTTTCTGCGAAGTTTAAACCTCAAAATCGAGGTTTATAAAGGTCGTACCATATAATAAAAAATAGTGCTTAACGATTTGTAAGATTTAGTAGAATGCTTTGAGTAAAAATATATTTTGCATAACAAGGAATGAGGAGAATTTTAAGAATTTTATTAATTCCTCTAAAACTCAACCCCGATCTGAATAGCTTCAATCGCTGATTTCTCGAAGAAGAAAAATGTATTAATTGCAGCTTTTTAGATATTTTTTTATTTTGATAACATTTTCCTTTTTTTATCCAACCCAGAAATGAATATTAAACGAATTATCTTGAGAAAGATGTTAACTTGATTGGAATCGTAATCGACACGATTCGGAAACAAGAAATTATCTTGTAGTTGTTTTAAAAGCAAGAAAGTGTTAAGTGCTTCGCAAAGAGATTGGACAGAGAAATTTTATATCTTGATTTAACACTAGTTTAATGAAAATCAATTGGTTTTCACGTATTTAGCATAAAATTAAAACATGTCTGATTTATAATTAAAATTCCAAAAATTCAAATCTTTAAATATACTAAATTATGAGAATATTTATAATAAATAGTGAGCACATAAACAGAATAATACTATACAAATTAACAAAAAATACATACCTCCCATAAGTCGAAGAACTCCAAAATGTAAACAAACAGAAAATTGTAAAAAACTGAAATAAAAATATTTTTTTAAATTATTATTCCGTTAGGGTTTTAAAAACTTAATCACTTTAGTTATTGAACACTTATAATAAAAATATTACCTGTACATTATAACTCCAAATTAACACCATCGTTACTAGATTGTGTCACTTGATAGAGTGAAGTCAGTTCGTCCATGCACTTGCTTGCATCAGAGGCCCCCGTAGGCGCCACCACGTGGGGAAATGTGCATAAGAAGAGAGAATTGAAACCCCGATACTTTGGTTTGTTGTAGTAATCCGTTTAGATTGTGAAAGAAACGCGAAAGACGCAAAAAAGGAAGAAGCGCACCGATCTCTTCGCGCCTTTTCTCCCGACGAGAAGGTGAAATCTGAAAATAAAGCGCGCAATTATTATTGCTTCAATCACGACATTTTCAATAGAAGAGACGGTTACTATTTGTTATACCCCCGGTCGTAGTTCCTTTCTTTCTTTTCCTTTGTAATTTTTCATTGTTGCTTTTAAGGTTTGATGATTGTGGTCATGTACTGAGCACGCTATTTGATAATCAGGAAGTCAGGATACTTAATGGGTATACCTATATCTACATAAATAAGCGTTTGTTCCGTTGGAAAATGAGCGGCCGTTGTTTGCAAAATCTGCGGTGCGTGACGATTTCTACGCTTCCCAATTTTAGAGAGAAACTGAAGGCGTTTTCTGGGTCTAATTGGCGTCAATTTTACACACATTGTATCACTAACAAGACTTATAATTTTAGATTAGAAATGTAAAGTGTGATTACCATTTCACCGTTTTATAAGATTGTTGGCTATTGAAACTAGTTTAAATATTTAATTGAAAATAACGGAATATTGCACATAAAATTAAAATAATAATTTAATTATAAAACTTTGCTGTACAACCCGAGGTTAACTTTGTTCTCAATGCGTAATTTGGGAAGCTTAACATGTTCTATTAAGGTGGAGTGCTTTTGCTGATTAAAATAGGATTTGGTAGAATGACTCCAAGGTCTCATTTTATCTCTAAATTATGTATGACATACTCTAAATTCCAGATAATAGTCGGATGAGATTCAATGCCTCACGAGTGCCTAGTTATAATGTATTGGATGTGATTCTGCCAGAACAATAAACACTTTCTGTATAAGTTTAAGGATGGTACCAACAGCTGGTGGTCCTCAAGTACCACTCACATCAAGTACCATCTACTCTGAAAGTGATCAGCGCAGAACATCAACCACAAAGTTACGAAAATTTAAGCTGTGACAAACACACATACCAATTAAAGTACTGGCATGTATTGGTATGCTGCCAAATTATAGTAAGAGCTTCCACTGCTGCCATCGATATTGACAAAGCCGAAGTCTACGTCAATCAAAATGAGTAAAATAAGCAAAAATGTTTGCAAATGTCGGTCTGAAACTCCCAAGCTTCGGAAGCAATGCAAGAAGTCTATTTATAAATATGATTAGCTGTTCTTTTAAACATCTATCACAGCATACAGGAGAAATTGTCGTTAATCGAAGATATTCTGTGATAGTTGTTAATGACGAAAAGTCTATAGTTACTCAGCGAATCATCAACCCAGCACAAATTGTACAAAATTGGTGAAGAGGACCAAAAATATGATGTCAAAAAACGGGTGTTGCTTTAGGTCAGTTTCGGAGAGCGATTAAAAAGACGAGGGGTTTGCTATCTATAATCTACAACTTATCATTCATGGGGGTAGAGAGGTAATTGGCAAAAGTGAACTATTCTGGAGAAAGGCTATTGAAAACACCTTTCCACATGAGTGTGTAACTGATCTTATATCGGCTAAATTAATCGATTCAAATAGATAAATTAGCCGGCATAAAATTTACTTCCGACAAAAGACTTGTTACAGAACTTATTACGAGTGACCGCAAGGTAAGCACTACCTTTATAACTGAAAGCTTGTTGATACCCTTCTATATCGCGCTTGTGAACAAAAAAAGAACCTTCGTAGAAGAGTAGAAAGCAGTACAAAAATCGATTTCGCACAATATGTTATTAATTACATTTGGTTTTTAGATTAATACTTATTGACAAAGAGATGGAAATTTCAAATATATTATAGTTGATTTTACAGCTATTCACTATCGAGATAGTACTCTTTTTACTGAGTATATTCCATCTTCTTACTTCATCCTCTAATAAGATGATGTCCCGTTTTTTCTACATTTAGACCTCCTGTGATCCTGACGTCCAACGTTTACATCATCTTTATATTTCTTCTTTTATATGGTCTTCTAGGGGCTCATTTAGTGTCTGGTTTATCTAGCATGGTCTATTTGGCAAATTTTTTTGGAGACTTCGTATTGTCATGATCTTTCCATTCCCATCACCTGGATCGCATCCATCTTACCATATTTTGAGCTCCGCATACACCTCTTACTGTACTACTCCTTACATGGTCACGTAGATTGACCTCTTAGATTGTTCTGACTATCTGCTTCTGCCTCTATAGGATAAGTAAGCATAAATCTTACACAGATTTCATATATTAGGCTATACTTTTCGTCGACATACACTGGTTTCTGTACATGATGCGCTTTGTTGGCTTCTTTACGTACTTCATTTATAGGATTTCTGTTACTAGAAGTTTCTACTCCTAAATAGTTGAACTTCATGGTTTGATAAATTATTTTATTGTTCACTACGAACTTGTATCTAATTCATCCAAATCTATCAAATATATTATCAAAGTGTGGTGGGTTTGTGACATGGTAAAAAATTGAGATAAAAGTGATGGCAATAGTACTTGTGACAATATGTTATTATCTAGTAATTAGTGATTATAAATTTAGATAAAATACAAAACTGTTTTTGAACTTGGAACAAACTTTTAAGGATTTCGGAGAAAAATGGAAATAAATAGTAAAGAAAAATTTTCTTTTCTTCTAAAGCAGTATAAAACGAGAACAATAAAGAGCAAAAGCTAAGGAATTATGAACAGATGGAAGAAATAACAGCAAGAAATATAAGAAAGTAAGAGTGACACTTTCTAAATGATCCAGCTTTCAGAATGGATGCAAGAAAAATCGATTTTATCACGGAGATCGATAACTTCTTGTGTTTCTTGCCGATTTTAGAATTTAAACAATTTGCGAACCTGCCAATCTTTGCAGGTTTTCATATATTTTTTGCTGCGGTATTGCAGTACTAGCTTTTCAATGTTTCTATTAAGCTCGTTAAACCTTCTCTTCAACTAAGGGAACTCTAGCGATTTAGAATCACTATATAATCTTCTTTTTTCATTGATAAACAATCCTATATATCCACCAAAACATCGACGTCTCTTTTTGAAAAAAGCTTCAGCTCTTCGGAAGCAATGCAAGAAGTCTATTTATAAATATAATTAGCTGTTCTTTTAAACATCTGTCACAGCATACAGGAGAAATCGTCGGTAATCGAAGATATTCTGTGATAGTTGCTAACGACGATAAAGCTTCCTTTTCGGAAGCTTACAACTTCTAATGAGTATGAAAGCGTTGTTTCAAATNAACTAAGGGAACTCTAGCGATTTAGAATCACTATATAATCTTCTTTTTTCATTGATAAACTATCCTATATATCCACCAAAACATCGACGTCTCTTTTTGAAAAAAGCTTCAGCTATCACATCTACAAATCTTATAGTAAATTTCCAAATGACATGCGAATTCTGTGCTTAGGTACATTCCGGAAGAGTTTGATGCGGCTGGGGTTTCAGCAGGAAGGGAGAGATAATATCTGATGCTTGGATATTTACCGTTGGCATGTTGGGATTTATGAAGGCAATATACATTTTTTTTGCTTTAGTTGATTAAGTATTTTATAATTCATTTTATGTTTTTTTTCTTTTATTTTCTTTTTCGTGTTTTCTTTTTTTTCCTTAATTTTTTGTTCTTTTTTGCAACCACTTGGGTTGGTATGAGCAGACATTGTCTGGAACTCGCCCATTGCGTTCCTTCTTTAATTTAATATTATGAAATAGAAATATGTAGAATGTTATTTGTAGTTGTGGAAGGCACAATAAGGATATATTATTATTATATTATAAGTCTAATAATAAACGGCGGCAGAAGAAAGTTGCAATATTTAATAGATGAGAAAGGGCTTGCTGCGTCTACCGATCTCTCAAGGTGATCGTTGAAGTCATGTTGCAGAGCTTACAGTTTTTTAGGTATACTAGTAGTAGCTTTGTTATGGATCAGAATACCCAAGTGGTCGTAGAACAACTCTTAAGAAAGAATAACTTTCAAAAGAGAGATTCAAAAGGGGGCGTCTTATATTGTTGGTACAGAAGACTAGATCAGGAGTAAAATTTGAATTGTTGACCATAACGTACATCGGAATTGGCTGATTTTCCTCTTTTTGGCTGGATTTTGGATGAAGTCACCGATAATTCAACAGTAGTCGAATAGAGGCAACATGGCTAAATGGGCATATGTAAATTAAGAATATGTATAATTTATTTGTGCTAATCATTACGGAAAATTGCGTTGTTCAATGGGGAATTGATTCTGGAGGGCTTCACCTCTGACACTCCTGTTCACGATGATATCATGTTTTTCTATTATTGTCCAGTCTAAATTCAATGTTATTCTTTAATTTAGTTTTGACAAACGATTTCGATTTATTAGTTGTTAATATTTGCATACAACACTTTTAAACTAGTCTATGTTTAAACTAATATTTAAGCCCACATATAAATATATCAGTTGCATGATTTTAAAAAGCAAATATATTAACATTGTTATATATTAACATGATGTGCCAGCCAATTAGAAATAGAAAATGATCGATTTGCAGGGTAGTAAACTTTTAATAAATCTTTTTTGATGGTTCAATAAGTTGAGAAACGATTTATACATTTCTTTTTATAAGATTACCATCTATTTCTAAAATAAATATGAGAAAATTAATACGTAATAATATGTTTAATTAAATTTTATCTTTATTGATTACTTTATAGCTTATTACACATCGGAATTTCTTAATAAATCGACTATATAATTAATATTAATTCCTATTTATTTCTAAATTGTTTATTTGGTTGCCGCTACTTCATGGAATTAACTTTATACTAAACGCTAATAGTAAATCAATTATAAATTATTCATATCAATTAATTATGCAAATTACTTAAATGATTTTATTTATGATTGATTTAATGATACCTTTTAATGTATGTACAAAAAATTAAAACGTTTTCGTGACTTAATAGTGTTTGAAAACTTACTCTACTTATTATTTCTTTCATTAAATTTCTTGTAGTTGATTGTGTAATGTTTATATGTTTTCTTACAGATAAACTTTAATTGTTAATTGACAATTGATTAAAAAAAGTTACTTTCCCCGGTGAGGTAACTGATGAGGTTATTTTATTGCCTTCGTATTTTTCTAATGAAAACCAATCTTACTTCACCAATAATTTCCTGTATTTATTTTATGATTACAGATGTTTTGTCTTTATATTTTCTAATCTAAAATATTTTTTTTAGGGTTGCAATCATTTATTTTATTGTCTGCACTTTAATGATTTTTTAAATTTATAATTAAACAAAATAAATTGTGTTAATCAATTGTGTTGTTAATGGAGGAACTTTAATTAAAACTTTTTCCAATTGAACCACAACTTTATTATAGTTGGGAAGGAGACAAAAGTCAATTATTTTGGAATTATTGTTTTATGTTAGCGTTAAATTAATAATAAAGTGCGGTTTCTTCAAGATAATTTTAACAGAAAATCTTAAAGTTTCTTTGTTATTTTCTTGATTTCTTCAAACATTTGTGATTGGTTTTTGTTGGAATGTCAAGAGTTGAAAATGGCATTCTATTGAAGAGAATGGCGAAGGGAATGCTGGCTAGCAATAGATCATTTTCCATAATTTGCCAACTCAGTTACTTCGTTGAACTGTGAAGGTGTGGTTCATTATATCCAAAATTTTTTGGCAAGTTACGATGTAAGTAAAAATTTAATAAAAATAGTAAAAAATTTTGTTTAAAAGCAAAACGGGCTGTTTAAATGTTAATCTTTCTGTGTAAATTCTACAATGTTATGATTTATCAATTAAAGAGGCACATTAAAAAGTAGACTTTCTACTTTTTTTCAACTTTTTGAAAGTGTATAAAGTGTGTTTTGATGACCCCATCTTTTTTCGAGTATTCGATCCTGGTCATTACCGGAAAGAGAGTCAGTGAAAGGAGATGTTTTCATATTTTCCATACTTTTCATTGCTTCATAACTTTATCTTCTTAATAACCCTATATTCTTAATAACTTCTTCTAAATGAAAAACAGTAGTTTCAATTTTAATTGTTATTCAGTGCTAGATTGTTATCTATTTTTTATTGAACTAAAAGTAGAACTAACACTAGAACTAAAATCATTCGGGTTTAGCCGTCTTAAGAGACACACGGCTAAATCCGAATGTTTCTAGTTCTCGGTCTAGTATTAATTCTAGTATTGTACTAGCACTATCATTAGAACTAACAAAAGACCCAGAACTAGAATCATTCGGGTTTAGCCGTCTTAAGAGACGTACGGCTAAATCCGAATGTTTCTAGTTCTAGGTCTAGTGTTAGTTCTAGTTTTACACTAGCACTAGAACTAACAAAAGACCTAGAACCAGAATCATTCGGGTTTAGCCGTCTTGAGAGACGTGCGGCTAAACCCGAATGTTTCTAGTTTCAGGTCTAATGTCAGTTCTAGTGACAGTGGTAGGCAGCGCTAGTTAGCATAAGATATCACTATGTTGCATATTTTTATTGGACTAAAACTAGAACTAACACTAGACCTAGAACTAGAAACATTTGGGTTTAGCCGCACGTCTCTCAAGACGGCTAAACCCGAATGATTTTAGTTCTAGGTTTTTTGTTAGTTCTAGTGATAGTGCTAGTGTAAAAGTAGAACTAACTCTGAATTAACTAACGTCTGAAGACGCACGGCTAAACTCGATACATTCTAGTTCTAAGTCTAGTGTTAGTCTTAGTCTAGCTAGTCTAGTTTTACACCAGCACTATCACTAGAACTAACAAAAGACCTAGAACAAGAATCATTCCGGTTTAGCCGTCTTGAGAGACGTGCGGCTAAACCCGAATGTTTCTAGTTCTAGGTCTAGTGTTAGTTCTAGTTTTAATTGTTATTCACCAATAGATTGTTTTATATTTTTATTGAAATAAAAGTAGAACTAACACTATATCTAGAACTAGAATCATTCGGGTTTAGCCGTCTTAAGCGACGCACGGCTAAACCCAAATGTTTCTAGTTCTAGTTATAGTGTTAGTTCTAATGCTAGTGTTAGCTCTAGTTTTTATGCTTATTCAGCGTTTGATTGTTGTATACTTTTATTGAACTAACAAATAAAAAACACAATGGTGTGGATAATTGTTCGAATTTGTGTACATGAAAATTATTCACTCAACCAGTTTAAAGTGCAAATTACAAATTTTTCATTTCCATATTAATCCATAATATCGAGATTTTACTGTAATCAACTTTTCCTATCAAATATCTTTCCATCAATTTCATTCAATCTCTTTTTAATCTCAATTTCTAATTGAATTTGAAGATAGCAAACATTCCACAGTTAGACCAGACCCACAACTATCGCAAAAAAAAACTGATTAGAAATGGCTTTCAGATTTAAAAGGGAAAGTACGGGCGGCGTTTGGGTCCATCCGAAACGGCAAACTCAATTGGTTCACTGAACTTGGAAAGCTGCTGATACAGTTCTCGGTTTGGCCGTTCTCTAATCCGCAAGTTCAAGAACGAGCCGAACGGAACGAGCTCAAGACAGAGAGAGAAACTGAGAGGAGCCCCAACCTTTCCTCTATGCACACTCCTCGCAACCCAATTATTTTTCCTTTCTTTCCCTCAAAATTCACGGTCGGTATAAATATGGGATGGATCCCGGTGATCAAGGCACAAATCGATCGGCCTTCGCGAAGTTAACGTCTTCAGTTTCTTCTTCCGTCCGGGGGATTACGCACTCAATTTGTTAAGATGGCTCATCGACTTCTTGTAAGTTAATGTCGTCATAAAAATTTATGATGCTACGAAAATTATTGGAAGATTTATAATGGATTTTTTATGTTTCAGGTTGGATCCTGTATGGTTATCCTCTTAGCTGGCGCTTGTATTGCTGGAGGTGGTGGTGGTGGAGGGTATGTATTAAAAAAATCAATTCAATTCAATTTACAACAAATTTCCTAAAAAGTATTTATGTATGGATTAGTTTATCCATCCTAATTAATTCTTTTACAATCATCTTAATAATTAAAAGTTGTACCAGACGTTGTTAGGACGAAGTTGAATACGAGAGAAATTTTCATAGTTCTATTAAACAATCTTTCTAAAGTACCAAATTTTATTACCATCATTAACCTCTTTAAGATCAAAAGGTTTTGTATCTCAACTTATTTATTAGTGAAATTCCAAGAAATTACCAAGTCCAGAATGAAAGTGGATAGGTGCAGTCGTTTTTTGATTGATTATTCATGCTTATAACAAGCTAGAGAAAGCGAAACGATTCTTTTTCTTCGAACCTAGTTCACCATGTGACGCTATTACTATATTTATGCATGCAGTTATTTACGCAAGCTTTCAAATTCTCTTATAAATGTCTTTTATTAACATCAAACCCAATTTAATTTAACTCCAACTTTTTTTTTCAAGAACAATGCTTAATTATAATTACTTCTTTTTGTAGGGGACACAAACATGTGGTCATCCACGTACCGTTTAAAGTGAAAACCATCCACCATACACACACCGTAACAAAACATGTTGGTGGAGGCGGAGGCGGCGGCTACAAGGTTATTGGTTACAGCGGAGACATCGATGAAGGTCACGTAATCCACTCCAGCGTTGGAGGTCATGGTGGTGGATTCGGGGGAGGACACGGTGGAGGCGAAGAAGAAGATATCACCGGAGGAGCTGGAATCGGTGGAGGTCACGGTCCAGCTCTCCATGGAGGCAGTGATTGGTCCGGAGGATTAGACGGAGGATACGGCTCCCACGCTGCTGATATCGGTGGTGATTCCGGATACGAAGGAGGCGGCGATTTGGGAGGATATGGGGGTGGAGATGCCGGATATGGCGGTGGTTATGACGTAAATGAAGCGGGTGGTGATATCGGTGGCGGCGATGGCCACGAGGGTTATTAAAAAAATAGTATTGATTTTTAAGTTAGATTCATTAGTTTTGGATGATGCAAAAGTTGTTTTGTTGTTAACTTCTTCGTTACAAACCGTGTCCTAGTCCTCTTTTTTATTTTTTTTGTTATTGTTGTTGTTCTTTAGCTTAGGTTGTTTTTGATGTTTCTGTGTATATAAGTTTCTTGTTGTGTTACATGTTGTAATAAAAATTTTATTTATGAATTGTTTAAAATTATGATTTTTTTTTTTCAACTCAATCCAGTTCTCCTACTTAGATGTTTGCTAAATATTCTAGTAGATTTTGCTTTGTACTGTATCATCTAAAAGTTTCGACAATTATTGAATTAAAATTCCAAAAAAATTTTGATTTTGGTGAAACTTACTTCTAATTGCGTCTATTAGAGTTTGCTCAATTTTGATTACCTTTAGAAGTACTTTGTTTAATTCTGTCAGCTTTTGGAAGCATTTTGCTTAATTATGTCAGCATCTAGACATATTTTGCCCAATTCTGTCAGCTTTAGGAAATATTTTCCTTAATTCTATCACTTTCTAGATATATAATTTTTAATTATATCAGTTTTATTTAAATATTTTGCTTCATTTGGCTAAATTCGGAAAGGCAGAAGCAATTTAATTGTGGATCTCTCACTCTTCATTAAACACTTGACTGGATTCTTTATCTTCAACATATAGATTAATAAGTCTATCTGGATGCAGCATTCACAAAATTCGATCTTTATGAAATGTAAAGGAACCCCCATCTTCGAAACCACTGTCAATAAAGTCACCAATCACCTTGTACTGCCATTATATTGAACATAACCCAGTGATGATTTAGGCAGTGATCATTTAGGGACTCGAATCCAAAAAGGAGTTCGATTTTCTTAGGAGAAATTTTCACCCCAACACACACTATTTATTGCAAACGCCAATAACATTTATTTATCCCAAACAAACGCTTTATCTTCTCTCACAACATCCAATTTATTAACATTTATATACCATTACGTGGTAAAGTTGGAACTTTTTTCTTTAAACAAGGAATATAGTATTTTATGCCTAAAAGATTGTTATTTAAATGAACGTGAATGTGGTATGCTAAAGATAAGTGACTTTTCATCTCCTCTCTTTACTGGACCCGGCTCTTGCGGATGAGATCACTTTTATGTCCATGCTAGATAATCAGTTCTATCGCTCAAGAAATCACAAAATTTATTCATTTTTGGTATGTAAAACAAGGAGCAGCTGCTATAAATAAACGAGCAAACACTACAGTAGCTGATAGTGAACTAACTCAATTATTAAAACAAAGGCAACTTCATCAAAAAGTTAACAGCTTCGTCGCAACCTTAGAGTATTCAACAACCTCAAAGTTTTGTACAGATTACACAACAGACTGGAAGTTCACTAATGTAAGTTGTGATTTTGGTGAAAACATATCAGGCACTAGAGTGACACAAACAGTGACAAACTGCGACAAGTTAAAACTTTAGCATCAGGTGCGACTATAAAAATCAATACACCCCTACAAATCCGGCACCATCAATTCGAACAAGAAATGTTGGACCACAAGAAAATATTTAATCAAAAAGATGGAATATCTAAGTCAGAGGGAAACCTGGTGTGTTAACTCAATTAATTGTTGGAACAAAACCTTTAACTAGACCACTTAATACGCAACGATGTGAACAAGTTATTAAAACACCTCTAACTGAGCTACACATTTCTGTTGAGTTAGCGAAAAGAATAATCCTAGGTATATTCTTGTTAATACTGAACAAGGAAATAAGCCATGCGTTATTTACAATTGATCATAACTTCTTAATTATTATATAAAGGTTGTAGATGCGACATCTCAAGGTATAACAAGAACAATACGTCCTCATGGATCTTCAACATTTGCAGCTTTGGCAGCTTTAAAAGTACTTTCAAATAGAACGTCACCATCTCACTCAAGCCTTCGCAGATCGATTTCGTCTTTGATGAATTTGATCATTAGATGTTGGCTATTGTGTTGGATTACGTGAAATTTTTGCTTTGTTTCCAGATGACAAAAATCAGTTGTTGCTAACCATTGCCATATGTCGTAATAGATAGTTCTATCAAAGGATTACCAGAACCACATTAGAAATGTATTACACACAAGAACAACTTAATAATAAGGATGGAATGAATTTAGCTGAACCTGGAAGAAATTATGGAAGACTTGAAGGAGATGATGAGGCTATAATAATTTAAGAAAATCTCATGTATTCGTGTTGCTCGATGATAATTTTGTTATTCATGTATCGTAACCATAACTTTTATTTGCAAGGACTGGTTTCTAAACCTGCTTCTTCGAACAGTTCCATACACAACTTGGCGATTGCTGTTGATAACGACGATTTTATGGCAGTTACCTTATATTGCATGTGAAATTCCCCTTTCCAGATTAAGTAAGACAATAACACGACAAAACTTTACCCAACCTAAACCAACCCAACCCAACCTCAACAATCCCTTGACTATGAGTTTTCTTCGTGGATTTCTTCCGCGTTTTGGTATAAGGTGATGAAGAATATAAATTTTGAGCCCTTTTTTGCTGGTAGATAGCTGCCTTACCTTCACGCATAATTTCTTCTCTTGCCACTTGGGTTGGAAAGATCGAATTGAGTCCTTAGCACAGAATAACGTTGCGTTATTTTGTTTTTTCTTCCTTTGTCTATGACTAATCATTAGTAAATTAACCTTTTTCCATTTATGTGTTCGACGTTCTAGTAATTTAAATTTCTTGATTTGTATGTTTCGGTTCTTCTGGAGCTCTTCTTCTGTCGTTTACACTTCTCTCCCCAGTAACTTCTAATGCAGATACTTTTAATGTAACAACTTGGAACAAGTCTTCGCTGACTTTACAATTTCTCCTCCATTTTCTGCGCTCCAACTTTAGTTCCTCTGGTCGTTGGATATTTAAGGTCCGTAGATTCACTGCAATATCCACCATGGTTAAGTTATCAGGATAAATCAAAGGAAAGTTATGGTATAAGTTATAAAGAAACGTTAGAAAAGAAAACTTTTTTAATTTTCGATTTTTATTACAAAATATTTACAACCACATTTAAGAAAACACAATAAAATAAAATTTAACAACAAACTACAAACACCAACAGATCACAGATTAACCAGATTACAAGTAAATATTAACAGAAAATAACTGAGGTAACAGTAAAAAAAAATAAGATCAATAGAACATGTTAGCCAAGCATATATTAATAAAATTAAATAACTGGCTTTAATCGATCGTGCAACTTCACGCTTTGACTCCTTCCTATTTTGTACCTATCAGTATGCGTCGTCCTCGATTCTTATCTTCAAAACCATTTACCATGTCCTCCACCGCCGCCGGCATTCAGCAGAAGAGCTAGATCATGGCCACCATCATCATCTTTATGATGGATGGTTTTGTAGATTGTGTGCGTATGTTTTATGGTTTTGTGGTGAACTGGGATGATTATCTTCACATGATCATGACTAAAAAAAGATAGGTACTCAGATATACTAATGATTTAAATAAAAAAACTTACCCGCCTCCACCACCTCCAGCATTGACATTGAGGAACGTTAACGCAGACAAAATGCACAAGAAAAACTAAAAAAAACGATGAATTAATAAAATTAATTGAAGAAAAAAAATTATTTACCAAAGCTTTGACTTGCATGGTGCTTGTTGTGTTTGGTAGTAAATGTTTGACCGTTGTGGTAAATCCGGGAAGAAAGGTTGCTTTTATAGATGCAAAAATTGATCGCGTTTCCACCACCAGAATATCTCGTAAGCGTTCATTGATAAGAAGTAGGGTGGTGTGCGCCTTTCTCCTGAGCTAAAACGAAAGAAATCGGATTCTCTTTTCACATCGCTGATTTGGATACGTATCAAACCGTGAGAAGATGTCACGAATTCAAAATTAAAACATGTAATTTAAACCTAAAAATAAACCACACACAATTACGAAGTGAAGAAATCGTAACATTTATTTTAAAATTTTTTTAAAATTTTTGTATTTAATATAATTTTGAGAATATTTGAAATAACCTTACATAATAAGTAGTTCACACTTCCGGATATTAAGGAAGTGAATTCTTGCCGTTCTTAATTTAAACAGCTTCCGTTTTCTTCCGGTGTTTACATAATAGACCCAGTTACTACTCTTAAGTTTACTTTCTTCGCCTAAACCCACGTTGCTTTTAAACATAGATTTGAAACGCAAAACCATAGTTTTCACCGAGCTATTTATTTCAACTTGTTTCAAATTTTTTTTAACGCTTTCACAAAAAAAAGCTGCACTAAAACAAAGAATTTGTAATGAATTAAAGAATTTGAAGCAATTTTAGAGAAATTCTTGTTTCTTTTCTGTTACAAGTAGAGTTCAATTTCCTGCGGGAAAATAAATTAAATAGAGTTATTGTTAGAATAAAAATAAACGATTCTTGGTTGTTACTTTATAAGAGAAAGCTTTAATTTTTATTGGTTAATTAACCCTTATCGTACTCAAATTGAAAATTGTATTTAACAAAACTTAATGCATTAAAATTTGATTGTTATTTGCGAGAATATATGGAATTTGTCTGTTATAAAATTGGATACTTCATGGTTATTACCCCAGAGAAAGTTTTTTTGTACCCTTAATAGACAGAAAATCATAAATAACACAATTTCGTACATCTGTCTAAAAGAAAGTGTGGAATTTAATTTTTTTTATAGTTTTCTAATTTCAAATCTAACTTTGTTAGCAAGTTTAAATAAAAAACGATTGTGTAGAAAAAAGTTATTGAGCTTTTTATGTCGAAGATAAAATTTTCTTATATTATTTTTTAATTATTAATTACATAGAACTTGATAATTTTGACTCTAATACCCGGTTCACATTATTCCAGTCTAGTAATCCAGTACAGTGGATTCTTAATTGATTTGTTAAGAATTCGCAATCCAGCATTGGATTGGCGGTCTACACTATTCCAGTGGCGCTGGAATGGGCGAGCTGGAATGAAAAAGTAGACTGGAGTGGATTGCTTTCTGGAATGGGTACATTCCAGTGCCGGTTCACATTACTCCAGTAGCATTCCAGCGTAGGTTTCCAGCACTGGACTAGGATGCTACTGGAACAATGTGAACCGGGCATAATATTACATTACTCAATCAATGATTGAAAAAGTTTGGTTAAAACGTCATTATTGATAAGGTTTTTGTCTTTA